CTCGAGGAGACGGACCCGAAACGCACTCCGGACAACAAGTGGAAAAGAGATTTATTGGCGGATTTTGCCGAGTTAAGGCAGTTAATTGCACGGTGGGAAGCTATCGGAGCGCCTAAAGCGGAGACTGTGAGAGATGGCGACACTCCGATTGAGATCTTGCGGACGAAAGTGCCCAGAATGAGCGACGAGGAAGGATGGATCGGTTTTTTCTTTGGCAAACCAGGGACGGAGTTGTCAGCTACTCCACCGCACTTGCGACTACTGCTGCAATTTGATCAGGTACTGACAAGAAGGCTGCTGGACTATCATGCTGCTTGGCTCAGCGAGGAAATGACACCACTATCGCGAGCTCGAGCAGTTTGGATATATGCATTGCTGGCTCGGCTGGATAAACCGGTTCATGCTAGTGTGGCAGCTACGATTCGACAGATTCTACGACGCTGTTGGACGCTGAGATCTGAGCTTGAAGCACCGCCGGAGATTCAGCTGAAGTCGCTGAACATTCTTATTGTCATTGCTGGGGATTTCTTTGGCCAGTTGCATGACTTGGAGTAAACCAATGCTGAGAGCTTGCGAGAATGTGATGCTTTCAGTTGAGGGCGCAGCACTTCGGGTGCTTAGCATCAACAAACGGTGTTGTGGTCGACGCATTATATTGATACCTGCAAGAATTGTACAATATGCGCTTTGGTGTTGTTTTTTGTTTTTGTTTTGAGTTTCTCATTCAATACAGTCACAGCACAACTCGAAATGATCGTCAGGGCGGGTAGTTCTTTCTCGGTCGTTGAGCGCTAAGTTGTACTAAAACTCCGAGCTCCCTGCGCTGGAGGTGAGAGAACATCAGAGCGCAGTCGCGTAGTTTTTTTTTTTTTTTTGATAACCTTAACGCACGACATTAGGGATACTACCCACAACTGGAGTGCAAGTATGCTTGATGCTCTAGCACCACGCAATAGGAATGCGAACTTTTTTCCATGTGCATTCACAGCTGTATCAGTTGTTGTAGTCTTATTGGTTGCTTCACAGCATTCATACACCGCAATATATTTTCGTATTGTTTTCGTTTCTGGTAGAAGATTTAGCTGCTATTGGTGCTAACCTTCATGCATCTAGTATTAATAGAAGTACACTGCAAAAATGCAACATATATATTCATTCTGAGAGAAGTTTAGCTATTCATCTCTCGTCAAGTAGAAATACAACAACAGAAGTATCGCAGTCTGCTCTCACTCACGCCAAGTTGGCGTCGTTCATCACGAGCTATCTCTGCACGCCCTTGTTCTCCTCCTTGGCGAACAGCTCGTCGAACTGGCGAGACTGGTTGATCGGGTTACGCTTCAGATTTGCCATACGGAAACGGAACTGTCGCCATGCAGACCCACGATCCTCCCGCGGCTCCAAAGTGTGGTGCAGTGAAGTAAAACGTTCTTCCTTGTTCACGTACACGTCGGGGTTCAGGAAGAGGTAGCGCAGCGACATACCCGTGGCGGCTACGGCGGCGAAGGAGGCACAGAAGACGACTGGGAAGGTGCCTTTGTCCGTGGTCCAGAGGTTGAGCAGCTTGTAGCCTTGACGCTTGACGATTTGTACCATGATGAATGGAATGGAGTGGGTGTGGAGGTAGAGCTGGTATGTAGCTGATCTGGGTTGGATCGATGAGCTGTGGCTTGAACGGATCAGTCGAAGTGATCGATCGAGGAAAAGTTGTAGAATGAAACGAGTAGCAGATTTCTACTTATTGCTCACTCAGATGTGAAGGTGGTGCTTGCTGCATTGCACACGGTGTTGATATCAACACGGTTGAACACCGTTTGTCGTTTTTGCATAGACACGAGAAGGACACAGACACGCACCGAATTGGAGACATACCGGTATATTGGATCGTCCCGTGTCGGATTTTGTCACCCCGAAAAACCCAATCATGAAAAACAATACTGAAAAACCCAAAGCGCATTTTTTTGTGTCTTCAACTTACTTCAGTAAAAGTACTTTGTTTTGAAAAAGTGTGCATATCTTATGGCCCACTTTAATCTTTTTTTAGTATGGTGGGCCATAAGCTCTAAGCACTTTTTACAGCAAAAAAGTACTTTGTATCGAAAAAGTGCGCATTGGTTTCGGACCACTATGAAGTGTCTTTGCGGCCGACGCAGAAACGCAGACGCGTTGCTCCCTCTTGATAAGCACCTCAAGGATAGCAAACCGAAAAGATGGAGTATGAGACCTGCACCACCAGTACCTCTAGTATAATACTTATCCAATACGAACATAAGACAATTCACCGCATCTCCAAAATGCCTTCACGGTGCGTGTCTGCTGCGCCCTGTTCGTGTCTACACCGCTCGAATATGAGGCTCTACTGGTGGCCGATAGCCGATCTCAATGGTCTACATTCCCCAATTTTCTACCAAGTGAACGCAAAGGTTTTTTTTTATCTGCAAGATGGTCCAAGTCATCAAGCGCCAGGGCTACAAGCTGCTCAACCTCTGGACCACGGACAAAGGCACCTTCCCAGTCGTCTTCTGTGCCTCCTTCGCCGCCGTAGCCGCCACGGGTATGTCGCTGCGCTACCTCTTCCTGAACCCCGACGTGTACGTGAATAAGGACGAGCGTTTCACTTCTCTCCACCACACTTTGGAGCCACGCGAGGACCGTGGGTCTGCATGGCGGCAGTTCCGTTTCCGTATGGCAAATCTGAAGCGCAACCCGATCAACCAGTCTCGCCAGTTCGACGACCTATTCGCCAAGGAGGAGAACAAGAGCGTCAAGAGATAAGCGGTTCAATGACTCGTCATTCAGCTCAGCAAGTGCCGCGCTTGCCGTGTGGAGTTTTTATTTTAACGTTGCTCTACATCATTAGTCAGCCACGGAGCTAGTCGGTTGATCAGAATAAAGTCACAACGAAAAATATATATTGCGCAGTGTTGCGAAGGTATACGTTTGAGTTGGTGTCGTCATGTTACTTTAGAGCTATTAGCTTGGGAGAGCTGTTAAAACCTGTACACGGCATTACAAGACGGTATGCCTACGAGCTGAAGCTGTCCCAGTTCTTGTCTGATCGTGGGTACTCGAGTGTGATGGTTTGATCAGGTCGACGAGCAGTCAGCTTGGAGGTGCCTGTGATCGAGTCAAACATTCCTGATACAATGCCTCGGTGGTGATACGATAGCTTGATCACTTTCGTGTAGAATCCTCGCTGTCTCCATCAACGATAGTCAGTAACGTTGCAGAGTTTACCACAAGCGTGTTTAACATAATACATCGCACCTTTGCAAGCAGCCTACGCGTCCAGAGCTGGATGTACCTACATGCTGCGAGAGCTTCGGCTCTCAATAATTTGGTCTTGCATTCCTCAATCGCTGATGTCAGCAGTTGCACAGATCGCACAAAGAAGCCCAGCCGGCGATCGAACGAGTCCAAATTGGGCTGGTAGAACGGCGGATGCAGCAGCTTCCAACCTCGCACCAGCTCTTCGCGGCAGAACCTCATCTGGCAATAGATTGGCTCCAAGTGGGTCAGCACCTGACGACGCCATTTTAGCGGTACTACGCGTGCATGTACCCACAACGTCATGTCCTTCATCTCGTCATCAAGCTCGTAGGCGTCGAACATCGCTTCTTGTGTACGCTTGGCCATCGCTACGCACTTGTCAGAGACGAGATTCCTGTCCATCTTCGGTCTTGGAGGTGGCATAGCAACCAGAGGAGTTGCCAAGGAATACACGCGACTCATCGGGCCCTCGGAGTACCCTCGTCGACGAAAATCTCCTGCGCCCTGGCCTCGGGGGACTCTCAACACGTATCCTTTGCCTTCTTCCAAGTCGCGAATACCATTGCGACCATTAAAGGAGGGTGGAGAGGGTGTGATGGAGTCCCAGTCCTTGCTGCCAAGTGACCCATTCGCCTTCATTGCAAGGTGCAGTTATGTTGAAGTGTCGCTACCGTCACTAAAGGGGGCACTTTCGCGGGGGTATCAACGAAGAGCTCAATTATGGCGCTGAGCTTGTACTTGCGTCGGCACTGGCGGCGTGTGCCCAATGGGTTACGCGGGTTCTGCACGGCTGATGAGGATAAGTATCTGGAGCTTAAACAGCTGAAGGATATCAAGAGGTGTGGCTTACGGGAGTTCAGGGGCTCCCTACTTTATACTGACATTTTTGTTGTCATAGTGAAGAATTCTACGACCGACAAGCCCACAAGCGTCGATACTTTTACTATATTGATTTACAGGTTCGTATCCACAGGTATATTGTGGGTATTTCAATGGAATAACGAGGCTCTCTTCCGATTGCATTCAATAGGGTCGTTTGTTTCTGGAAGACACGCGTCCAAAGAACATTGCGACGTCGCTCAAGAGCGCCAAGTTCCTGCGGTTTTTCTTCTCTCAGGTGCGGCCGAACGGTCTTGCGCAGTGCAAGTCGAAAGAGGAGGAAGACTTCTTGGAGTATCCCTTCCGGTCTCCATGCGGAAAAGAGATGAACTTCATCAAGTGCGCTGATCGTCCGTTCGTGTACGAAGACCTGCGTCGGGATGAAAGGAGTGGTAAATGGACGCTCGTATTTGGCGGTGGTGAGCTCACGATGCCCTTCCTACCGGAAACGCTGCGGATCTCCCTCTCGACGGGGAGACTCTATCACGACGTGCAGACCAAGCACGTTGATTGCGGGACACCTGAAGGTGTCGCACTTGTGCGCTCTCAACTTGCGGTGGAGCTTGGCAAGCACATCGACGTCCACGATTTCCCCGACGTCGACGCAGAGCAAGGCGTTAGAGACCTCGTGATCGGTGACTTCAAGTGGGGCGGACAGCGCTATGCCATTCATGCGATCGAATAAATTGCTGCCTCCTTCGAAGTAGGTTCATGAATACAACTTCAACTACAAAATGGTCTATAATGGATCATTTTGAGCAATTTGAGACAAATTGAGTCAACATCCAATAAACTGGTCACTTTTCAACTTCTTCCATCATGTCGAGTGCTGCCGTGTCGACAGGCAACCGAGTGGCGCAATTCATAGTGATCACCGCTGTCATCAGCGTCCTGTACCAGCTCTTCACTCGCCCAGCTGTGGTCTCCACCCCATCGCCATCTTCAACTGCGACTCCGTTGGGTTCTGGTTATCGCAAGGGCGAAGACTCGCGTCGGTTCACTTCGTCCGAGATCACGGGCTTCCTGTTGTTCCTTGGTCTCTTCGGGTTGCTGCAGCACAAGAAAAAGCAGGACAAGAAGGCTGACATCGAAGCTGAGCAGAGACAGATCGCTAGAATAGTGCAGAGCCAAAGAAATAGTCTCAAGAATGCTGTCTCCAAAGCCTCAGGAACACCGGTGACCAATTTGCCACTGGACGTTTTACACGAGTTGCTGCTGTTCCTGTCCCCCAAAGACTTAGCCACATGCTCCATGGTTTGCAGTGCTTGGGAGTTGAATGTCGGAGACGCCGCTGAGGCGCTCTGGAGACGCGTGTTCCAGCGGGACTTCGATGAAGCTGGCGACAGGTTCGCTCAGGTCTTCCCCATTGAGTGTTGGCGGCAGTTTTACTTCCGGCACCACTTGTCACGAGCTGTAGAACTTGCGAGGTTGCTGGGCATTACTGAAAGCCGCAAGTGTGTGGCTATTGAAGGTCAGGTCTACGATGTCACGGACTTCCTAGACCTGCATCCTGGTGGGCCCCATGTGATCGGAGATGCAGTGGGCACAGATGCTACGGTAATTTGGGATCAGTTCCGGCATTCGGATGAGGCCAAGGAGAGCATGCAGCAGTTCTTGGTGTACGATCAAGTGCTTGCACGACCAGAGAGTGAGAAACTACAGGGAAATCTCGAGACAGTCGTGGCTCGCTGGCGTAAAATCTCGTGGGCGCTGTCCCAGTCGCACTGCTTCGGACGAATGGCGCCTCAGTTTGCCAACGTTGTCTTTCGCTTCCATTCGCGCGGTGTCATAAGTAAGAAGCACGTGTCTTCATGATTAAATTTTGTGCAAGTTTACTAAGTATGATGAATATTTTTCAAGGAGGAATGAACTCCTCGTGTTTTAAACAAAGCAGCGCAAGGTGACACTGATCCTTGGATCTCGGCAACGCGCCATCTTAGGCACTGCATGTTTGTGTGTTCTCTGCGTGGTGCCGCCCATGATCATCAAGTCTCCGTCTTTTATCTGCAGCTCCATCCGTGCCACTGCTTCTTCGCCTTGAGGAGCAGTCTTGGAAGTCTTTTTAGTGAACACAAAACGTCGAGTTGCTCCTAATGACAACGCCACAATTGGAGAGCACGACATCATGTCACGCTCGTCATCTGCATGCGGTCCGATGTAGTGATCTCCATTCTCGTACCAGTTCACGAGCCCTCCTGTGAGCCGTGTGTGGTGCTGCGTAGTGGGGTTCTCCACTATTCGCTGCATTTGATGCACAGCGTGCCTCAGACCCGGCGGAAATTTCTGCTGAGCTTCAAACGTCTTGCCGGAGTAGCGATAGCTCCCCATTTCGCCACAAAGCTGTTGAAACCGCGGGAGCTTCGCCGGCTTGCCAAACATCATGATGGTATCGTGCTGTTTCGGGTGTGCCTCCCATGCTCGCATAAACAGCGCCGACCAGGTGAGCGCCTCCTCTGTGTCTTCGTCTGCTAAGCGAAGATCTTCAGGCGTGGCGTGCTTGAACACGTGCCAATACCAGCGTGGCACATGGTAAACCCAACTTTTGTGGTCCGTCGTGAGGTACGAGATAGTCGCGTCCTGTTCGAAGAGCTTCGAAATGACAGTCTCCGGTAAGTGGGCGTGCTGAACAGCAGCCTTCTTGAGGTTGGCCACTACATCTCCCAGTGAGAATCCGCCTTGATCCGGTGGCGGCGACGCCTTCGCACGCTTCCTGTGACCAATTCCTTGCGAGGATTGCGAACGTTTGGGCATCACGGAGCAACCAAAATAATTGATTACCAATTATTGGCAAAATGGAAAATGATTGCACACTGTCGTTTGATATTGTGCTCTTCAACCGATGCACATTTCACAAATTTACATGATCTTTTCGACAACGTTTAATGATGTTCAAGTCTACGGAACTGACGTCTGTCTCGCACAACGCTTGCTTGTCCTTCCCCCCGTCCAGCTAAATAAATACTTTCGGCCAGCAATGCGTTGACGCTTACTCAATGGTGAAGCCAGTGATGTCCATCTGCACAATCAGGTTGACGTACTCTGCTAGAACCTCCTTCGAGTTGTAAATTGGCAGATCCAGACGATTAAAGCACGTGTGTGCCTTCGGGAATAGGAACGACTGGTTCGCACCGGCGAAGGCAACATTGAAGCGCCGTACACGACCGTCGCTGCTGATCAACCCCTTGAAACCCTGCGCCGGGACTCGACTAGTGCCCGTCGCGAACTGCAGCAAGCGCACACGGTCCTCGTTCCTCATATCCTCCACAACTTCCCAGAACCACTCGATGTTGTTAAGCTCCAGTTCCGTTGGGAAATTATGGGTAAAAAACTTGAAATCGGTGTGCTTTTTCCAGTCCTCCACATCAATAGACGGCACGCCGCACATAAGCAGCTCGAGTTCTTGGTAGTCGAATAGTTTGAGCAATCCCTCGGGCACTACGTCATACAACGCAGTGAGGAATGACAGCAACTGATCGCTGACACTGCCTAGAACGTGATACTTGAACAAAGCATCTAAGTACCGCGAGCGATTCTCTCGCGTGACATCAATGTTGGCACCTCCTTCGACAAGCTCCACGATCTCTGGCTTGCCATCTACAACGCGAGTAGCTGTAAAATCCAGACATAGCGGCTCGATATCGTCGATCTTTTTCACCATTAGCGCGCTATTGTAAATTTCGTCATCCAGAAATTGTAAATCCGAGAAAGAGATCGGGACGCCTAGAATATGTTTGAGGAATGGCAGTGCAAGATGAACTGGCATCAAGTGTTCTTCCAGAATCGCCTTGCCCACAAGCCGTCCTGCAAATTCGAAGTAAGCCAAATGGTCCTCTTCACCAAGCAGTAAGTCGGAGCTGGCGTTGATCCAGTAGCTTCTCTCATCGCCCACTGTACTCACAAATAGCCCGAAAGATGGGTCGAACAACTCAGCAAAAAGCAGTGTGAACCACTCACGCATGACTCCGCCTGCATCCAGCGCCGGTTCCCCGTCAAACACCACACGCCACCTCTGTCTTAACTGATACGGCTTCATAGCTGCCACAAGTTCGAACGAGTCCTGCAATAAATGATCCCTTCGCACCACCAACTCTGCGTGGCCTGATTCCCAGGGAAGCCACAGTCGATGGATCTCTGTCGAAAACCAGCGGATTTTATCGGGGAAGGGCAAGTTGTGTACCCCCTCGAGGTTCATAATCAGCTCGGAGCTGCCTGTACCGTCTAAAATATTAATCCGGTAGTGGAAATCTGTCGCCACCACGTCGCTCTCGTTCAGCACCAACCGTCCAAGTGAATCTCTTACTCGAATGTATCCAATTGACAGGTTGCTGTCTCTTTCCGTAGCGTCCAAGTACCTGTTCAGTGACATCCTTCCACCTGGATCACTCTCCATCGAGTCCCGTTGGCCTGCTCTCGACTGTCTTCTAGACTGCTGCCTCACCCACCGATGCAAGCCATCCGTGGTCGGCATCCTTTTCCACTGCTGTCTTCGACTAGCAGCTAATTGTAATTTGCTCAATTTACTCGAAGACTTTGGCTTTCTCGAGAACTCAAAGCTCGGTCGTCCGAACGACCCGCCAATGGCGTCATCGGCCTGTGCAGATGAAAAGGCCTCCGTCTCGCCGATCCGACCCATTCTCTGCGCTGAGCTGGAGCTTAAACTTCCTCTTGAAAAGCTACTGCGAGAGTGCTTCTTGTTGCCAGCTACGTCTCGCTCTGCGCCTCTTAATGTCTGACACAAGTCGCAAAGTTTGCGTTCTGGGTGGTTGAGGAATTTGCATACGCCGCAGCGCCACAGAGCCTGTTCCATGAAACTATCGTTGAGCTCTTCTCGATAAACGTCGGCCGGCTCCTGAATGAACACAAGCGACTCGCGCTCGCGCTGGACCTGGATACGCCGACAGAAGAAAAGCAGCATGACGATGGCACCCACGAAGAGCAGCACGCTCAGCGCTACAAGCACCGCCAGCCCTGCCGTCATATCTGTTGTGCCTCAAGGCCGGAACTGTGGCGACGGCCGGGTCCGTTCGGTTGTGTTGGTTGAGAGGAGAGGAGCGGTGCCTAGCCCTGGAAGAGTCAGACGAAAAGTTGGATCGAGTATTTCGACTAGATTGGGAGATATTTATTGACATCTGGACGATGATTGGATAAGGTTCCGAAATAAATTATGTGATTGGACGATGGCTTCTGATGTAGAGATTATATTTGTAATTTATATGTTCTGACAGACGCCGCCCACACAAAACAAGTCCCACTTCGTCGGTCTTTCGCACAGCAGAAAGCAAATGGTGCCCGTATGGCAGATGGCGTGCTGCGATCGTAAGAGCTGCTTCGACGCTCCGCGAACGCAACAACGACCTGCATACTAATATGCGGCACAGCGTGTCCAAATAACTTGAGGCAAGCACCTTTGTTTGAGGTGCAGCACGCCCTGCTGCAGGATCAATTTGTAGATTACAAATGTCAAGACTAAATTCCGAACGCATCTGCGCGTATTTGATTGGTCCTCCGATCTTGAAGTGATCAAAAACCGAAGTGTGGTGCTGGCCTCAACGCTGTTATTGTCGAGCACGAAACCGCTCTGCGTCATCCCATGACAGCTACAGCAGGCGTTGCCGTAGCTGCCGTCGGGAGATACGCTGGGGACGCTGTCCCGTACGATGTACTGTTAGTTTCCATCGCCCAGTGGGAAGCTGACCGCCACTGCCAGTGCCACTGCCAGTAGCACTTGGTAAAATGATCCTGGTTCAATTCCTGTGGCTTTTATGATGCGATGTCAAAAGCGCCGAGTGATCCCCCGAGCGCGTATCACTGGTACAGTCTGGCATCGCGACTTTGTTATCATGTTTTGATATAGTGCTGTTTCCGAGTCAATTCACTACAACATCGAAACAGATATGGTGCTCTATAACCGTTTCACAGTTAATGCTCGCTAAGTGTCAGAACTTGAAGCTACTCACAACGTAAAAGATGCAATGGGCTATTGCAAGGCAGTCTCACATCGCGCAGTCCCGCTTGTCCGTGCTCGGAACGGTGGCGTAGGAGGCATCATCAGCGACACTGTCGCTCTGAACAACAGAAGGCGTTGCTGGCGCCTTTGTCGGGGCGGTTGAGTCGTCGACAGCGTTCCCACTGCCTGCGTCCGTGTTCACCGCCTCGTACGCAGAAGTCGAACCTGATGAGGCACTTGCGCTGCTAGCCACCTGGTCTACGCCAATCTTCTGTGTAGTCGAGTCGGAGCTCGACGCAGTGCTTGCACTGGCAGCTTGATCCACCACGGTCTCAATTGCGGAAGGTGTGTTTGTGACTGGGGTAGCTGAAGGCATCACTGTTGTGAGCGGTGTAGCGGAAGGTGTCGCCGTCGTCACGGATGGGGTAGCAGTTGTGGCGGAAGGAGCAGAGGTGGTAGGTCTCGGAGCGGGAGTAGGGCTCGCCGAGACGTCAAAGGTAGGCCAAGTCGCGTACAGCTCGACACCACAAGCGCCTTCGCTGTCTCCAGAGTAGCGACGTTGGACACGAACGTAGCCCTCCTCGCCCCACGACGTGCCCCACTGGTTCTTAATGCGCCGGTAAAGAATGTTATCATCCGTCTCACCAAAACCCACTGCCAGTCCCGAGTGCGATCCAGTCTTATCGCAGTTCTCGCCCGTGAGCACACCACCCGAGTAATACTGGAAGGCAGTAGAACCGCTGTACAGGAAGATCGATACAGGTTGGTTGCGCACTGCATCCTCGATAGCACCAGGGTCTTTATGAACTGATTCGTAACCGGTCACGCCAACGTCAAACTCCGTGCAGGAACTCATCGAGCAGCTGGCCACGTTCCCGTTCTCTGATGTAAACGGATATGTGTCGAGCGTACACATTTTGCCACTGCGTTCGTTAGCGACCCAGTCCATGGAGTAGGCAGCGTAGCCTCCACCACAGCCACTGTTGCCATCTTCAGTGTTGCAGCTAATGAGCTGTTGGTCGGACAAGCTCGGAAGCGAGCCAGTAGCCACGCAGTAACCGGATTCCATCGCTGCAGTGGCTGAGAACGCCCAGCAAGCGCCACATTCTCCCTGGTCCTTGACAGCCGTGACACATCCAGCCTCTTGCCAATCCACCGTCTCACCTGCAGCTGCCGATGAGGTCATGATCTCGCCGCCTGAACTGGAAAGCGTCATGGTGTTGGAGCCTTCTGCGTCCATAGTGAACATTCCAGCAGTCGAACTTGTGCTAGCCTTGACGGGGTTCGAGTCCGGGTCGATGGCATACCGGTTAACGTACGAGAGGAACTCGTCCGACGTCAGAAGTACGAAAGGTGAGTTGATTGAGAAGTTGGCGTGAGGATGCAGTTTCTGGAGTTCTGCGATGTCAGCTAAGGCTTGGTTGAATCGCTGTTGCTCTTCCGATTCAGTGATGCTACTGACAGTCGTGGTGGTGCCTGAAGCCGACGATGTCGTTGCACTGGATCCAGTCGAACCGGAGGTTGGTGGGAACGTGATGGTCTCGTTGGATTCCAACGAGCCAACACCTACTGCACCAGAAGAGCTCGCGCTGCCAGAAACATCGGTCTTGGACGAGGAAGAGAAGGACCCGGCAGCCGTGCCGCCGATTGTGTTGACAACTTGTACGGCCTGACCGTAGTAGCTCGACTGCTTCCACTCGGAGTAAATCTGCTGGGCATCTTCACTCAAAGCCACGCCGGGGGAGAAGAAATGTGTCGATAGAGCCAACGCTCCCAGTGACAAGACGGACACGGGCAACATGAGGATTGAAAGGATTGAAGATGAATGGACTGGGAGCTGGTGGTCGCAGTCGAGAAAATTGAGATGTGAATGATCCTGAAGCGTGGTGTCTGTCTACACCGAGTTCCAACCACGCCTTCGGCTTTAATAACACGCCCACCGCTCACCACGATGGACTTCTACATGTCCGTTCTCGACGCCTCGAACAGGTAAAGAAGCTCCGTCGCTATCAATGTCCTGCTTCGCAGCCAAGCTAAGGAACTTCTTGTCCTTATCGACATGCCGCAACGCTAAAGCGATGGCTGGCTACGTGTCCTCTACAATCCTTTCGACGTTTTCTTGAGGTAATATCCATGCGGCGCCATCAGGTAGCTTGCGCCTTGTCTAGAATGAAGCGATGCTTGCCTTGATACACGATCAGTGACTGACGGCAGCCAGCGTACAATGTATGAGCCATTACTACAGCTGCGTGGATACCGAGGCAATGACTACGCCTTTTCCGTGGCATTTATCATTGAGTTAGCTTGACTTGACCTGCAACTGTTGTCACGACGAAACTGTAAAAGCTGAGTCTCCGTTCGACGTTGAAGTTGCCAGATACTTTAAGAATACCGATCGCGCAGGTCTTGTGTAGCAGAGCTACTACTACGTCCTACAGTTGTATTTAACGTTAGTAGTACATACTGCTCGACATGTAGAATCTACTACTGAAGTAGTATCTATCCATACGGGCATTGGAACATGTGAGGAAAGTAGGACCAACGAGTTCGATCGACTAAAACCCTCTTGGCCCCACGTACTATAACTTAGGCATATCTCTATGGTCTGAACAAACTTCCAGCTGGACGGATACATTTTGAGCCGACAGTATCTGTGTCTTTGACGACGCAGTAACAAGTAAGCACATTACACGCAACAAAAACACATCGAGTTCACATGGCCATTGCACTGCTCGTATCCTTCACAGGAAAGCAGACAGACAAGCTGCGCTCGCACTCTATTTGTCCTTCTTACTCTCCTCTGCTTCCTTTTCAGCCTCTTCCTGCTCCTGCTCGAGGTCCTCATCCTCTTCCTCGCTATCACTCGAGTCCGCAGCATTCATCACCTGCTCGAACAGTGTGGGCTCGTTATCTAACTCCAAATCCTCCGGGTGCGGCTTGTACACCGGCAGTGTGGATGCAGGGGCGACATTGAACTGCAGTAAAACAACACAAAACACTTAGAAAACCAGTCCACACATACCAACAACCACACCAGAAACGAACCTTAGCAACAGCACGCAAGTCCATGCCAATGTATGAGTCGCTCTTGACGAAAATATCCAACTGGTAGGTACCAGCCTTAGGAGGTGCCTGCAACTGGAGCTTCTGTTCAACCACGCGCTCTTGAGACGTCATCTTAGCGAAAGCGTGTAGGTGGTTCATCTTGACGTCGCCCACGATGCAGTACCAGCGCTCCATCTTCGGGTGCGGGAAGCGTGGGGCATACACCAAGTCGCACGTGTCTCCTTCCTTCACGTTCTTACGTGTAAGCTTCACCGTGACCGTCATGATGTCTCCCTCGGCAATAAACTCCTCATCTTCCACACCAATCGAGATCTGAAGTTCCATGTGCGGCATCATATCCAGCACAGTCGTCACCTCTTGACGGTCTTCCTCGGATAATCCACTAAGACCCTTACGCTCCTCCGGTTTCATGGCAATGTACTGATGCATACTACGCACCGCATTCTTACCCGTCACAATGTGCTTAACTTCAGATTCAGTTAAGTGCGGAAGCTGCAGGAACGGCGGGTCCTTGAACCAGAGTCCCTGGGTCAAGAACTGCTGCATCTCCATGAGGTTCAGTGTGGTCTGTAGCCACGACTTCATCACGGAAATCTCAAGCATACCGTCCACTAATTGAATCGCCTTCTTGAGCATCATATTCAGGTCTCCTTGCAGCGTCGGACTCAATTTTTCACGTAGAAAATGCGCATGTAGCAACAGGTTGGCCTTGGCAATAGCTGGGTGGTTGTACTTGGGCTTAGCCATCATATCCGACTGCTTGAACTTCTTGAACAACGCGCCAAGCTCCGCGTCGTCACTGGCGCGACGTGGGATCTCACGGAACTCGGCCGAGCCGGCCAGGATCTCCGGCAACATACGCGGGTGCGAGTGCTGCGACATAGCGAAGTTGTAGAAGCCGTACGTGTCGTACATGATCATGCTGTCTCCGTACTTCTTCGAGTGTGAGTACCAGAGCGCCACGCAGCTGGGAATGGCCACGACGAGGATGATCAGGTACAAGAAGAGCACGAGATTGTGGTTCTCTGGGTCCAATAGGAACGTAGGCAGACCGATAGACAACTGCAGAGCCTGCCGGCCGTCCGGGTTGCCGTATTTCTCGTAATTCGCCTTGGCCACCTCGTCCGTAAGCGCCTCGTAGGCCTTCGCCACGAGCATAAACTTCTGCTCGGCCACAGCGTCGCCCTGGTTCTTGTCTGGGTGGTACAGCAGACTCATTTTACGGTACGCACGCTTGATTTCGCGCTCCGTGGCACCTGCTGCAATGCCGAGGATGGCGAATGGGTCGAACGACTTGATCTCTGAGTCATCCTTGAGGAGGAACGTCATACGCACCAGCGCGTACCACACAGCAGCCAATACGAGCAAGTTGAGCACGAACGGCAGCGAGAATACGTTGCGAAAGGCCGTCTTCTCGGCCTGTAGCTGCTTCACCTTACGCAGCTCGCGCTCGCATCGCACGTGGCTCTTGTCGAGCAGGCGGTCCTTGAGGAACACGCCGTAGAGGATACGCCGCAGCGACAGGAACGTCACGGGCACCACATACAGTGCGCACAGTGACACTGAGAAGTAGTAGAAGGCCGAGTTGTCGTACTCCAACATGGTGAAGAGAGCGACGATACGCGAATGGGTCGACGAGTGCGGGCGCTGCCTCTGCCCTTGGATTATGGGGGACGACACGTGGAGGCTAAAACGAATGGTACCCTGAACGTGCAACCAGAAGATGGAGCTGGGAGAAGAGACGAGATGATAGATGGTTGCTGATTCAGGGGAATTTTGTGAAGCAGCTGATTATTTTTTGTGTTTTGCGACGAATTTTGTGCTTTTGAGTGGTAGAGTTTATCGGTTTAGACGGGTGTTGTCCTTCGTCAGCTGTTTCACTTGTGCTCACTATACCGCGGATAAACCTTTTTGCCAATCAAAATGTCGGGTCTGACGTGGCGCTCCTCGTGGTCCTCTGCCGATGGCTCCGTAGACGTGCAGCTTCTGGACGATAATCGCGGCGGCGTAGCGTCTATCTCCTCGCTGCCATTGCAATTGACTCGTCCTGCATCGGAAAACTCTGTCCCGTGTCAAGTGTCGCTGCATTGGTCGCCCCAGCCACTACGTTGTCTCCAGCTTCAGCTCGAGGTGCAATGCTCGGCTCGCCATGTAGAACTACACGCCGAGGGCACGCGTTGCAATATGTTGGGCGAAGAAGAGCAGGGTGAAGTATATCTGGGCACATTCCGAGGCACTAAAGCGTCGTCCGAGACGCAGAGTTTCACCATGTCACCAATTTTCAAGCAAACCGATCGCGACTGCGATATTCTCAAAAGTTTACAGACGCTCAAAGTCAAGTTTGTATCACTCACAGGAGACAAGAGTGCACTGAACTTGGAACAACTTCGATGTGTATTTGTACCGATGGAACCTGTTGCAGCAGTTGATACAAGGTGAGAATAGCAGCTTGAAGGAGAATGTAGAAATTACTGACATTGTTGTTGCCATTTCAGTGCTTCGGATTTGGCGGCTAAGGTATCGGGGCTCAGTCTGGGAGGATCAACAGACGTGCAAACAATCTTGAAGGGTTTCCAGCAGACATTGGAGCGTGAAATGGAGACCAAAATTGCACGCGTGATCGATGCCAAGTTGTCGACACTTTCGCAACGTTTGGCATTCTCAGAGCAGGCGCTTTTCCAATTGCACAAGAAAATGGACGCCAAAGATGCACATCTACAGGCAAGTCTAGTCGAGATCCAGCAGAAGTTTTCACAGCTAGAAGATCAGTTGAGCCAATTCAACGTCGTCAAAGATGGAGAGAACGAGAAAGTATCGATTGAACTGGAGCAAAAGAAAACTGCAAACTCCGAAGTGCAGACAGAGAGTGATCAAGCCACGGAAGTGGTAGAGTAACCAAACGCTTGTCCTTTATTTCTTCAGCGTTAGAGGTAATCTTCGGCCACCGTCTTGGTTTGTATGCTGCAGCCATCTCATGCACAGCAGATTGCGGTAGCGCAGCGAGTCGAAGAGTTCAGAATACTTGTCAAATGCTTGTGCTGTTGGGAAAATGCGCTTAAAATGTCCGCAGCGATGGAGTTCTTCCTCCACCTCTTTCACAAGTTGCAAGTCTTCATCGCTAAGCTGGGACATCGTGACGCTGTTAGCTGATCTGGACAACGCGTCAAATATGCGTCGCCGTCTCTGTGCTTCATTTTCTTTTTGGAGAATCATTCTAGTGGCTCCTGGCTGTTTAATGCCGTGAAGGCGATCTTGCTTGGCTTTATCTAGCTGCTGTGTTTCTTTCTTCGCGTGTACGAATGGAATCCCCACAAGCTGGAACAAGTCACTAACCAACACAGTTTTAATGCGTTTATCCATCAGCGAGGAGCTGCTGAGAGACGGGAAAATATTCACTTCCAGAAGACAAGGTTTCAAGTTTTCGCCTTCAATCAACACGTCGAACCCGTACAGCTCGAACGCGTTGCGACTGCAGGCCGACGATAGTTTATCTTCTACAGCAATTAAAGTTTTCACGATCAAATCTTCGAGCGCTTGTTGGAAGTTCTCAAGATCACGAGTTTTGTCTTGATCACGCAGGTATTTGAACAACATCTGCAGACTCCATTTGCTGCTTGAGAGCGTATGCAATTCATCCTGCGTATCTTGATTTTTCTGAAACGCAGCAGCATTTTTCTTGTTGATGCTGTAATTTGTGAGATGCCCAAAGGGATTCTGTAAAGCACTCTTACTCGTCGAGTATTTTTCCGTACAGAAGCGTACTAATCCGTCGTTGAAAAGATAAATGCATAATGGATCGTACGATGTTACTACAACGTAGACGCGGAGATCAAACTTAAGACCATGGATCAGGAACGGGTTGGCAACATATCGCTGAGCTACGTAAGCTTTCTTCTTTGAGAGCTTTGGCGTTGGGTGGGTACTTGAAGACACAAGTTTAATGCCTCGACCGCAGGATAAATTGGGTGGTTTTAGAATCCAAACAACATTTGGTTCGGCGTGGAAACGCGTCAAAAATTGCTGCTTGTCGTAGTCATTTGCTGTAAGATACGTCTCTGGAATGATATCCGCGTAGGCGTTTGGATGTTTCTTTCTCATACGCAGTAAGTGGGAACATAGGCGATCTTTACGACCTAACTCAAAGCTGCCTGGGAAATGATTCACACGCTGAAATGGGAGTAATGCTGCGAACTCTTGAGTCTTGAGGTGCTCCCCCCAGAAGATGTTCCAAGTGTTACTAGATGCAGTTTTACGGACGCTGGTAGCACGGAGAGAGTTGGTGATGGCGTTATACAGAAAACGTTTGGTCCCTGCAAAGGACACGCGCAGCGATTCGTCTCCAGAGATTTCACGTACTGCAGTGACATGAGTTAGTAAAATACAATCGAATATGAGCATTCCGAACGGTTCTCTTTCCTTCGTATCCAGCGGGGCATTGTCTCTCGAGTTGAACTGCAGCAGGGTACGGGAAGAAGAGCACTGGTTGGGAGGATGGATCGATTTTCGAGACAAGTACGAAGATTGTGGACTGCCGTTTGACTTCAGGTTCTTGCTGCGTGGCTACGTAGGGCATTTGAGACGGATTTTGATAAAGCTGATAGTTAGTCAAGTGGTGGCAACGGTCTATTTTGGAAGAAGACTATGCATGTGCTGGAATGTTGACTATTTGTGGTGTCCTCGTTTCAAAGGTTTGCCGTCGCGATCGTAGGCTATGATGATACGGGAGCCACCCGATGAAAACTATAGTATACAGGGCAAGGATGGAATGGTGAATGCCGCTCCAATTCGGACTGAAAGTAACATCCCTTTGCAAGGATCGACGATGACTTCCCCGCAGCCATTACAGCAACAAAACGAAGCTTTAGTACTGCTCTCCGGTTCGATGACTCTTGCAAAACTGCCAGCGTCATCTCGCCATGGCTCGATGCTTAGTTCACTCAAGGCACAGTATCGCAAGTTGCGTACATTCAAAGGCACAGTCCGAGCGTTAATTAACCTCAAGCGATCGCCGCTACTAAATGCTATCAAAATCAATACACCGACGGTGTCGAGCCTAAGTGATGACCAACGGAGGTAAAGCGAATTGCAGGACTGAATGGAAACTCACAATTGCTGACTTACCGTGTTAAATTCCCAGTGCTGTACTAGAAATGCCAAGAATTTCGGCTACTGCTGCGTCTGCTGTCCAGACTCAAGTTCACAAGCTCATTGCTGACGGGTGCGACTGCTGCTGGAGTGTCCATTTGATACGGAGCTGACTGGTTGTATCTTGGAGTATGCAGCCATGTTGTAGCTGAAATCGACCCGACATCAGGCTCGGAAGTGACGTACCGTCAACAAGGCAATTTGGATTATTATACTAAGGTAAGAACACGTGCTGCAAGCGATTTTCTAAGGTGACTGACGCACTATACCCCCGCCATTGTCGTAGGACAACTTGGCAAAACGCGTGAGTCTCCAGCAGCATCCTCACATGATCGCACTGACGCAACGTCTTTGGAACTGTGCATTGCAAAATGGAGAGAAGAAACTCAAATTCGCTGAGTACGAGACGTATATGCTGTGCTTGCACCGCTTGATTCTGCCAGAATTCGATATCGGTGCCTCGAAAGAACTCATTAGGGACGACTGGAAGCGAGACAGCGGGAAGCAGGATCATCTGGACTATCCTTTCTTCCACCTGTCAATGTTCGAGCTTGTCGGTGAGTACAATGCAGACTTCACGATCTCCATGGTATTTTATATTGGCATTGTATGCGAACTGTAGATCTGTGGACCGACACCGTTGACCCCGAAGATGTACGTCAATCCTTGGCATGAACGCTCGCACTTGTGCTGATATTGTCTCCTCATTCTGTTGCCAGTACATCTCGCTGTTGTATTGCATCACCCACTGCCTAACATACCTCCGTAACGAACGTCACGTATTAAAATCCCTTGAAGGTTCGCTACATTTCTCCAGATTCGAGATTATCATGAACTTACCATTGAAATTTATGGTTTCCTTGTAGATGTGTCAAATGTTGATATTTTAGAGAAGTCAAAGGGGGTAACACTGGAAGTCATTAAGCAAGACTTGCAACGAGAATTAACCAGTGAAGCGTTTAAATACTATCGGGATCAGATCAAGATCGCGACAAAAACACCTCACAATGCCGAGCAAGGATCAAATGAACGAACCAGCTCGAGGAGACAGTCGCGAAGCAAGCAACGCGGAAACGAAAATTTCTCAAGAACGCAATCGCGGGGACCCAACGAACCTAGTAGTCCGAGACGACAGTCGCACAGTCAACAAGGTGATAGCAGAAGCTCATCTAGATCCCACTTGCGAGGAGCGAATGATTCTGGCAATACCCCGAGGCGACAGTCACTAAGCCAGCAAGGCGGCAACGAAAGCCCATCTGTATCTCAATCGAGCGACCGTAAACACTCGTTATCGAGAAGTGACGAAAGAGATGGAACCGTCAGGAAGAGTGCGTGCAACTACATATTCGTGACCTCGGTCGTGTTCTTACGATATGGTTGTGTTTTCTAGACTCCGGTTCAACACCACAACCCCGTCAAAATCGGTCTAGTAGCGGAGCTTTCGGTCAGAATGCCCCAAGACACAAGTTCTCTGTGCAAGTCAATACGAATGCGCTCAATCTGACAGCAGCCATTTCTGGTATGGTGCGTTTATTTGCTTAGAATTGGGCGATTTGACTGAATACTTATTTTTCTGGTCGATGTTGCAGGTTCTGGCAGTGCCAACGCAGGGCCTCCACTGTTAACCCCGCAAAACCACCCAACTGAGGTGATACCAGTATCGCCTCCGAGAAGACCGACTGGACTTCAGCGAGCGACGTCACCCAACATGTTTTCCCGTGGCGGAGGAGTGGTTCTCAATATTGGTATGATGGACGGTATGATGATCTCCAAGTCGATTGCAGATGGCAAGCCTGGCGTCACAGTATCAACATCGGGAATGGCTGCATTTCCAAGGCGAAGGTCGCGAAGCGCGTCAAATTCTAGTCAGCATCGCCGAGACCAGATAATGCAAGCAGTACACGGTAAAAACGACAGTCCCCGTGAGCCGTCAGGGCTACATGTGAGCCACATTGAAGCATCGGGTTCGACTCTCCGCACTGGAAGTGAAGACCCTAATGCTCCGGGATTATTACTGACTCCAGGTGCTGCAGGTTCCGGAACAACTCGAGAACCCTTTACTGTTCGCGCCGCTGCTGTTGCTGAAGCAGCAGCCAACATGGCCGTGTCAGCTGCTGATACGAACTCTCAACATACATTTTCTTCCCAGCGTACACTGCGCCAATTGCAGCAGCATATGTCGCAGTCCGACTCGGACGGCACTGAACAATTGAAAAATACCCACTCGAACGTCTATACGAACAACAGCAGCCTCACCGCACCATTGGTAACCATCATCAGTAGCAAGACACCAATGCCACGCGAAGTACCTTCAATTAACAAGATAAATCTGCAATTGCACGAGATGCAGGCTACACGAACCCCACATGAAGGTCGCCCAGGAGTATCAGTGTCATCGCCACGGGTCAGTAATGCGATTAGCGCTCAGGCTATAGGAATCTTTATCTCGTCGCATCAACAACCGGCTAAACCTCCGATTTCCCCACGATCAACTCTTCTCGGAAGCATTTTGAGCAACGATCATCAGCCCCCAAGGAATCCTACAAACTTGCAACAACATCAGCCAGACGAAAGCCAATTGCTAGCTGCAACCGAACCTGTTCCAGTACCAGCAACCGCAATGTCGCTGACAATTAGTGGCAAACCGGCAGCCCCATACTTCAGTGTCGAATCAGTTGACCAACATCCGTCAAAACTCAAAACCGAAAAATCCCCTGTGTTGCTTAAAGAGGGTTCAATAGCCCATATATTCAACGGAGTGACGAGGGCCTCTCCGCTGAAAGATGACTTGAAAGCACTGTTATCACCTCGATATGTCGTCTCTGAACCCGTGGTTTCTTACCATTCTACACCGCTTTCAACCCTCAAGCAGTCGAGTGTTCAACCACCCGGTTCAACTCGAGCATTGGTCGGTATCAAAACTAGCCCGCGAGTTCGACATCACCCTTCTAGTCTAGCCAACGGTCCAGCAAGAAGTTACCTCCAGCAGCATCGGCAGCAGCGGCCGTCCGAGCTGCAGGAACTCGTCATCGCTCCGAAGCTCGGATAGTAATGGTGTGCTATTATTTTCGATTACTATTCCCATAATTAGGAGTACTATTTACAGAATACAAAATACTATTACCAGAAATACTTTTCGTTATCGTTATGGTATAATATCCACTCTATTCCAACTCTGTATAATTCTTACATCTCCTGCGAGCCAATGAAAACAGATTATTGAATAATTACAGCCAATGGTTGGGCTTAGGAAAAATTCCAACTATTCCAACCATATTGGGTTGGAATGTTTTCAAGATATTTTATATTCCATACAAATATGTATATTAATGCATATTCTAAAAATACCATGAGGTTTCCAACCAATTTGTCGGTTGTCGTGATATCACAAGAATACTCAATCAGCAGAACTGTAGTCATGTCCATCGCGTCGTTAGCTCCCGCAAGCAGCAAGAAGGCCAGGGTGACGGCAATCAACTCGTTCTCTACATTTCTGGCTTCGGAAAGCATTACACTAGACGCGGCTCATCACCTTATCGATGCCGACAAGACTGGTAAGGTGCTACGAGTGATATTAGATAAGTATGCGTATTCTCTAGCAAGATCAACAGACAAATCGCGATCGACGAATACGTGTCTGGCGTATTTCGGAAACGTGAAGAACTGGTTGTTAGACATGTATCCCCAACAAGGTCAGGTAGTGAAGCCGCAGCTACAAAAAATTCTATCAAGTCTAGGGAAAGTTTGCAGCAATCGCGAAGACGGTGTTTTTGAAAAGAAAGCGCCCCCTTGCTCTAAGCAAGACTTAGAAAGCATCGTGCGACTACTGTATACTTCTGGTGCAGAAGATATCTATCTTGATGCCTCCTTATTGGTTATGTTGTGGTACCTGTACGGCCGAAGCTCCGATGCAGAGCAACTTGAGAAAAAACAACTTTCAATTCTTCCTGGTACGGTGGAGTTTTTATAACTTTACTGAATCTGTTGTCCTAATGTTGTTGTACTAGGTGGTGTGCTCTTTATCCGCTTCAAGAGAGTTAAAACAGCTTTGTTGCAAGGCATTTCCTTGTTCAAGGATGCAACAAATTTCCTAACCTGCCCGCTTTTCTCTTTAGCAGCTGCTCTCGTAATGCAAAAGGCTCCAAACAAGCGCCTGTTTCCACAATTCCTGACTACAAGACGTAATCCTGCGGTATCCAGTGATGTAGAGGAGCTCAGCCTCGTAGAACTGCTAGAGGCCGACGATGGCCCTGTATCGTTGCAGGACACCTCGAAGTTGAAGACCAATCGAGCCGTACCAGGTGCCCAAGCCTACGTGAACAGATTACTGGTTAGAGTCAAAACATCAGCCGAAGAGATGCAGATTAGACTTACACCGGGACTTACCTCGCACTCGTTCCGTCGTGGTGCTGCAATGCACGCCAATGACGGAAGTCTAGCAGAGAACTGGATCATCGAGCGTGATGGCTGGCAACTTGACCGGGTTAACAAAGCCTTCGGTTATATGTTGGGCACAACCCAGGCAGACCAGAAGGTCGCTCGTGTCTTGAGCGGATGGAACCCCAAGGAACGTGCTCGACTGCCGTCCTTGCACGTACTTGAACAACCTATTCTTGCACGGGCTCAGCAGCTCCAGACTCAGCTCTTCACCAACACGTCCGCTTTCTCAGACTCCTCTTTAAACTTGGACGTAGAAGTCGCGGAAGTCCTGGCCGCCACTCTAATCATGCACTATCCCGATATGCTTGTGCTTTCAGACACCAGTGCATTTATCGTCCGAATGCGGGAGGTCATGGCTGTGCAAGCTATAAGTGAGGCTGAATTGCTGGCTTGGAGTGTAACAATCAATTGCGTCTTCGCTCCAGCTGCAGACACAACGCCTTCCATCACGAACGCCAGCGAAACTTCAGCGGTATTGGATCTGGTCAAGCGCCAGTCTGATCAGATTAGTGTACTTATCCTACAAAACAAACGTCTAGAGGAAAGGTTGTTAGCACTGGAAGCGCATTTGCGGCCTCAGACAGACACAGCAACGTCCAACGTTCGACCAAGTACAGGGAATTTAGCTGCACATGCTAACGCACCTATATCCACACTCGCGCCACTGCAGTCTCCACAAGCGGTTCGATCCAAGAAGAAAGGGTCGCAGTCGCTGTCGGCCGTCTGGTATGAGTGGTTTACGTCCGAACCTCGCGTGTATGCCACTCAATCTATAAAGAAGACAACACTTTATGAGTTCAGATACTCCGTAGGGTACATGATGGTGCTCTTACCTGACGGCTTTGTCCTCGACACAGCATCTCCCGCATACAAAAGTGAGGTGCTCGCACTTGGTGTGACGGCACAAGCAAACGCGCTTGCTTTCTTAATGGCGAACGGATCTTCGGCTGTTGCGGCAGGTACAGCAGTGAAAGCTCTTCGGAAGCTCCACAAATCCGGAAAGCTGGACGACCACATTGCCAACTATCACGTACTCTTCGACAATGGGAGCATCATTGATCCTACGCCTTCCTCTGCCCTTCCTGCCTTCATCCGACGTAGTCCATCTACTTAAGCAAGTTCGCCGCTCAAGCACCACGTCAGCCTCCAGCACCACATCAACCTCCAGCACCAAGTCCACCGCCAGCGCCACGGAACTACCAGCACCAGCTCATTAAATCAAAGACGATGGCAGGAGTTGAACCTGCCAGCAGTCGAAACTGCTCCCTTCTCCCTGAAGGCACCGCCACTGGTTAACAAACCCCGAAGTGCCGCCGGCGTGTCTCCCAGCAACCGGCAACAACGACCAGCGAGACGCCCAGACACAGCGACCAGCGAGACGCCCAGACACAGCGACCAGCGAGACCAGCAACAACGACCAGCGAGACGCCCAACAACAACGACCAGCGAGGCTAGCACCAACGACCAGCGAGTCGCCCAGCAACAATGACCACCGATACCAGCAACAACGACCAGCGAGGCTAGCACCAACGAACAACGACCAGCGAGACGCCCAGACACAGCGACCAGCGAGACCAGCAACAACGACCAGCGAGACGCCCAACAACGACGACCAGCGAGACGCCCAACAACAACGACCAGCGAGACGCCCAACAACGACGACCAGCGAGACGCCCAACAACAACGACCAGCGAGGCTAGCACCAACGACCAGCGAGACGCCCAGCAACAATGACCACCGATACCAGCAACAACGACTTCCAGCTCCAGCCACCCTCAACTGTCCACAAGTCACTATTTAAGTTCATTATGTCACAAAAGTGAATTTTTGCAAAACCGGTTCCGGTTGGAATCGGTCCGACTCGGTGGGAATTTTTACGGTATGGGGTCGGATATCGAGGCGTTGGGGCTGCTCTGGTGGGACGAGCAGCTTACCCAGTCGACCGTACCCTTCCGCGACGTCTTCTTCCCAGCATTGCTATGCGCCTGCGATCCTCAGCCACTCCCTTCCGAGCTCTCGCGCGACGAATTGCGCGTCGTAACGCAATTTTGCTTCTCGCCCAACGCGCGTCAAAGCGATCAAGTGACCAGAGAAGACGTGGGAGAGCTCAATTCAATGCAACACCGTGCTTTATAATGCTTATTACATGTTCTCTTCATTGCTATTGTTGCAGTTCCGTCGCTTCATCGCCCGCTTCGGACCGCTCGAGTTAAGTCTGTCCAAATTGGTGGCATGCTTCAGCGAAAACCACGAGTTGGTGCCTTGGTTTCATGGAGAAATAGGGCGGGTCGAGGCCGAGAGTGTGCTGTCCAGTCGAGAACGCAGCGATGGGGCATTTCTGGTGCGGTTTTCCGAGTCTCATCCGACGAAATTCACACTCACATACCTCAAAATTCATTCGCCGAGTTCGAATACTCCGGGGCGACGGGAACTGAAGAACTGTCTTGTGAGCAATCTGGGGGCGGCGGGGTATGCACTTACAGAGGCGGTAAGACGTGGAGGTGCGACTGCGAGTGTTAGACAGCGCACGTATCCGTCCATTGGAGCGTTTATCCAGTCCAGCTCCGGAAGACTTAAATACGGGGTACGTTAGTTCGTACAGGCTTGAGCTAGAAGATCAACTAACGTTTGTTGTAGGTGGCCTCGGAGTTCTCTGCGAAGTGCAATCAGGAACTGGCGGCGGTGAGAGCCATGCAGGACCAACAAAGCGACTCGTATGCGGCATTTAGCACCGAATCTTTTGGGAACCCTGAGCCATCGGCTAACACGGCAGCGATGCTGTTTTCGCGAACCCCTCCATCGCAATCGTCGTTTCTCAATATGCCATCGTTCAGCGCAAACACTAGCAACACAAGCGGAGCGATCTCTGATAACTACGCAAGTTTTTCGTTGGATTCACTAGCGCCGCCTACGGTGCGTCGTGTGGAAATACCAGAGAATGTGCCGCCCACTCGCCATTACGAAGACAAGAAACTTGGCCATGGAACATGGAGCGATGGGAAAGTTTCGTCTGCGTCGGGACCGCTTGCTAACGACTATGGGAATTTTGCAACTTTTGCCCAACAGCGACAGCCTGAAGAAGAAGCACAGCCCGCAGCAGCTCACGGTTCCAGCAGTACACTGCACCGTACACCTGTATCCGATGAGTACGCCTCATTCGCGAACTTGGCATCCACATATCCACACGAGTCGCAGCAAATGGCAGCACGAGTTCAACAAACCACTACGTTCTCAAGGTCACCACCATCTACAATTCAACCAGGTTTTGTAAATACTGGAGCGTACGGATCCTTTGCAAGCGTCACTGTAAGTAAGCCAACAGCAGCATCAGCATCGAACAACGGGAATCCACGGGATCAGCCAGCTACCGATGACTATGGCAGGTTTGCTTCGCTGGCAGACGAGCTTGAGGAAAAGAGACCTCAATGGGAGCAAACACTAGGACCCCCTCCTCCTCCCATGACCGTGAAGTCCAGTTTTGATAACAAGAAAGCTTCTTCAAGCACCGATATTTACGGAGACTTTGCTGCTTTATCACTCGCTGGGGATGGAGCGCCAACACACAAGAGACCAGCAGCGTCACCAAAGTCGTTGCCGCCTCCAAACTCGGACGTGTACGGATCTTTTGACCCTACAGCGACAAGCCCGGCGACTCAAACCACTCCAACTACCTCCGCACTGGACGAACTCAACGTCGGGATGGAGTTTTACAAGCAGAAGCGGTTAGATGACGCACTTCTCCGCTTCATGTTGGCTCAAGAAATGGCGCGTGCAACTGGAGACCAGGTCGTCGAAGCGCGCGCACTTGGCAATCTGGGCACCGTGTACTTGGACAAGAAGAATCCGCATCAGGCTGTGCGTTGCTACCAGCACTGTCTCGACATCACTCGCGCCATTGAGGACACCAAACGGGAACGTACCATCCTCAACAACCTCGTCCTTGCGTTAGTAGCAAGCGAGGACTTGGAACGTGCACTCGCGTGCTGCCAAGTGCAGTTGGAGACCACTACAAATGCCATCAACCGCCGCAAAATTATCTCCCGCATGAGTCTACTACGCGAGAAAATGGCGCGCCAAGCCACATCGTGACAACTAACTATTGTAGTCAGTTAAATAAACTCGTAGACAGCAGCTACAAAGCAACTGATGCCTGAGTTATTGCTCCAGATGGGTCGTGAGGTGAAGGTGCAACCACAACAGCAGCGGGGAGAGGTGGAAGTGCCTCAAAGAAGAGCTGGTTGAGCGATAGTTTGACACTTTCGTCACTCTTATCTTGCTGACTATCAATGCTGCCGCGTCCTTGAAGCTGCTGCGTTTGTTCCAACTCATCGATTACCAATTCATGATCCAGAAGGTCTCTCCAGTCGCTCGCGAACGTATCCCATTCTTCCTGACTGCAGAGTAATTCTTCAGGACGACTTGCTTGCACGAGCTCCGGTAGAACATTGCCTGCATGAGAGATGCGAGTTGTTCTCTTCAAATTGGTTGCAAATCCCACATGGAGTAACAATTCGATCTGCTTGGGACGCGCAGTTGTCTGTGCAATAGCTGGAAGGAAGCCAATACCACGAACCAAACGACGTAGATCAGCACACGCCAATGCAACTGCATACACACGACAACATAGAGCGCATATCTCCGGGTGCGAGTCCGACACGAACGAATAGAACGACGAAACATCCGTGTAGCAATCTGTCGTGTCGGCATCGAACGGGAATCGGCGGAGTTGATACGCATTCAAGATGGATTCCACTTTGCTCGACGTTAAAGTACTTGCTTCGCTCTGGTTTTCTGTTGATTGACAGAACCAGCGCTGGAAGTAAAGCTGGAAATATGAAGTCACGGACTTCCATTGCAGCGCTTTGTTGCTGGTATCGAGTCGTTCAAAGTCCATGTGGAAGTCGAACACGTACGCAAGCACCATCGTGGGCAGGTCATAGCGCTGCCACATCGCATCCAAAACGTCATGAAGTCGACGTGCTACGACAGCCGTATCATCATTGTTCGACGATGAGTTCATATCGGCAGATTCTGCTAGCTCCGCGTACTGCTGACTCATGCGACCAAGCTGGTACATGATGTGAGCGAGAGTAAGTCCTCCATGCACTGTAGTCGCGCATTCGTCGTCATTGTCGTATTCATTGTTGATGTCGTCCAGTTTAGGTTTGGCCTGGAACACGAGGCTGTAAGCTTCTCGTAGTGGAGCAAGAAGCACAGCTACCTCTCGCAGCGTACTCCACAAGCGACCGTCGTTACCCAGAACGAGTTCGCGTAGTGGTAATGGCAAAGGCGATTCTGCTTCCTCTTGACACAATGCAGTGATAGCGTCACTGTAGTGCAGAGCTTTGGTCAGACTAGCCACAAACGAGAACCAGTGGTCTCTTGTAGGGAGGGGGATACGTGCATCGTCCTCTCCAGACATGGCACGCAATGACGTCTGCAGTTGAGAGTTGGAAAAATACGCAGCCAACTCCACTAGCTGCCCCACCGCATCACGATAAGCCTCATGTGTCAAGACACTGCCAGCTAGGGACGTCAGCAACGCAGACATGCACGGAACTACCAGTAGAGAACGCCACTGTGCACTCCTACAAACTCGCTTGGCTGCACTTAATGCTACAGCCGACTCAGCTACGATTCCCATAACAGAGATATTCTTTTCGTTGAGGTCCTGTAGAACGTCCTCAATGGCGTTTGCTAGTGGCAGCAAAAGGACCGGACGTAGGAGTGACATCGGAGACGTGGCGTCGTTGCTACCAACAGAATGTCGTGAAACGTGTCCTCCTAGGTCTTCCACGCGCACACATGCGGCATCTCCATTGGAATTCACAAGCGTAAACGCCACTAATTGCTGTAAATCCAGGGCACGCCAGTAGGTTACACTCAACGTGAGACCACTTTTAATTGTCGAATTGAGGCTGCCTTCCTTCACGCGATCCAGTTGCCTATGGGCCAGTTTGGCAGCTGTCTCCTCCAGAAACGCTGGAGTGCCCACAGTACTGATCACTTCATTATTGTCCAGTTTTACTGGGCTCATAACCTGTAGTAACTCTTGGAATTCTTGCTTCTGGAAAGCGGACAAGGGGATACCCGCCGCCACTGCCATCTGCAGCAAACTGGTCCTCCATCTCGATAAAGTGTCCTCCTCTGTGGGGTTACTGCTCTCCGTGCGTACACGTTTAGTTGATATCGTCAAAAAATCAGCAACATTCTGCCCACTTTCAGTCTTGTCTACATGTCCACCAGAGTCCAGCGACGTCTCATCCGTTAGAGCTTCATTCGCTGTTCTTTTGCTAGTTACTGAAATATCCGCCGTCCCCGCTGCAGTAGCGATCACGGCTGCCGCGTCATCCGCCGTTGTCTGCGTCTGTATTGTTGTGGCACTAGACGCTACGGCATCTAAGAGCAGAACTTGGTCCACAGTCTGTACATTTCCAGAGCTCGAGTCGACGTTTGTGTTCTTCTTGGTGTGTGTCACTCGATCCCGTCCATTGCAAAGCTCTCGAACTGTGTCCACCACTTTACGAGGACAATTCGGACAGCTCTCGAGGTGGCGGAGCATGTCGGTGGACACCCCGCGTGTTGGCGGTACCTGGTCCGCGCCATGGCGAGCCACACAGTATGAACAATACGCGTGGTAGTGGTAGCGGTTGCGCTTCTCTCCGCGGTGGAAGTGCGCCCACAAAGGGTGCATCGGCCGCCCTGTGCGCTTCGAAAGCTCCATTATTGTTGGTTACGATGTGGGGATACCCTTGACGTAACCCAGCAATACCCGTTTTAGTGACTCTTACAAATATGTAGTTGTTCACTTTAGTGAATTTAGTGACATTCCTGTCCGACTCTTCACTCAATAATAATCTCGCGTGCTCCTGGTCCAGTCCGTCCCTATCGCTATGGAGAACGCCGCCGCTCCTTCGTGCTCCGTGTCGGGTTCACAGCGACGCGACCGTCAGACGGACGCTGATGCCGACTCGGCCAACCAGCAGGCACCTGCGCAGCCCGAGCACGACATGTTCGGAGGTGCGTACCCCTTCGTTTAACAGGGGTTACACTTTTTGTAAATCTAAGACTGTCGCTTTACTGTTGACAGACTGGAACCTCAACACCTTCATGATGTTCATGCTATTGCTACATTTCATGCAGTACGCGATGCGCCAGCCCTGCGGCTGCTAAGCTATGCCCACATCTGATCCGACTCAGCTCGTTAACTCTTACGCTGCCAGTTGTCGTTCCATGTTTCTGTGTCTTTGACTTTTACTTTGCTGGATGCTGCCTGTAACCTTGAAAACCAATAAAATACACGCGCATGAATCCTATCTTGTTGTTTTAGAAGCATTTTCGATCCAGAATGGCTTCGTGATACTCTTCCCATTCCTGTTTGGTGATGTGAATGTCTCGAAACGTATCAAGCGAGGCAAACATGGACCCTCCGACCCATGCGGCGATCTTCCGCTGCGAATTATAGCCTCGCTCTCGGATTACGGGATCCGGGACGACGTTAAAATTGCCGCCTGGTAGAACGGCCTTGAGCTCGTCCTGGAATCGACGCGAGAAGCCAGGCAGCATGGTGGTGCCCCCAGCGAGTACGACAGCGTTGAGCAGATCGCTTTGCAGATCCTTGTCACACATTGCAATACTCGTAGCCACACATTCGTGCAGTCCTTTGTCTGGACGTAGCGGATGTTCGTCTCCTAGCTCCTGCGGCTTAAAGAGTACTTCTGCCGGCATCGTTTGAGCAACGCGATCTACCTGCAATATCGTCCCATCAGGTAGCTCGAATGGCTTACTCGCTTCGTCCTGTTGATTCTGACCTTGTTTGTTCATACCGTTCCCCATCGCGCAGGTAGACTCTTTGATTTGGTCGATCGTATGCAGTGGAAATGAGTGGAAAGCTACTCCACGTTTGGATAGCAGCATATGAAGGCGGTGACTGATATCAACACCACCGGCGTTATAGTGTAGTGCTGCATGAGGCAGCGCGTAACCCTCAAAGATGGGTATCGCGTGACTCGAGCCGTGACCTACTTCCACCACTATTCCTCGAGTACGTCCCGATGCAAATAGAGAAAGCACACACTGCTGCATGAAGTAGAAGCCACACACCTTCTGCGACTCGAACATGAGCTGCGCCATGCGTTCCTGCTGCTTTTTTGGTCCAGATGGAGAGCTAATGCAGAGTACAGGCAAAGCTGCAGTCTCAGGATCCACTCGCAATTCCTGAGCAAACACGAACTCCCACATGCGCTCCAATGCATCCCAGTCTTCCACAATCCCGCGGTTGATCGGATTCGAGAGCTCCAGAAAGTCGCGATACTGCTGACACTCCGCCCCAATAAAGGTCTCCCGGTCGCGTAGTTCAGCCTTCCAATTGGGCGCCTGGGATGCAAACCACTCGGGGTTCTTCACGCGTCCAGCACATGTTGTGAACGTCGTTCGTGGTGTGTCTTCACCCGAATATCCAGCCTTGAACACCCCAGAGCCATTGTCCAGCACGATCGCCTCCATGACGATCGATGTATCATAAATGTAGCCATCTTCTTTACGACCTTTCGCCTGGATACATTTTTGTCCAATGAAATGGCATATCCAGTAACGGTCGAGCCATTTTGATGAGCTGCAAAGTCTTTGAAACTGAGGAATGTCGCGTCTGGACGGGGGCCCTGGGCACGCCGATGCACGTCATCGAAGACGCAGAGCAGCACGAGCTGGACGTGATCCCCTTCAACCTTCAGATCTGGCTGAAAGTTCAGACTAATAATTCGTCTGTGGGCGTCCAGAGCTTTCCACATCAAGGTCTCTATTTGGCGAAAACTCCTAAACTCGGCGCCAATCAGCGAAATCAACGCATCTTGCTGCCAGTTATGGCATTATCTTGCTTTTCCATATACAGGTGAGCAGTATTTTATTTATAATTGCACATGATAAGCCTGATTTCGATCAATTTCTGATAATTGCTCCTTCTATCAGCCCGTCGCCATTTGTGTCGAGTGTTCTGGTGGTGCTGGACGCGGATGATACGTCGCAACAAGGGTATTTCTTTGGGCGGGTTCGCCGAGCAACATTAGGATCGCAAGCAAGTGGCAAGGTGCTGTCGGATGGCCAAGACTATGGCGCGTTCTATGACACTGAAGTGGCAGAAGAGCTTCTGGCTGCTTTGCATGCAGCTTTCCCTAAGGTGCAGCTATCCAGCTCCGCGAAAGATTGTCTCGCTAAAAGAGAAATAAGTCGTCGTGCTACCGGTGTTAAGCTTGGCGAGATGGTTAAGCGCAGGAAAACGCTGTCAGCGGAGGCATTTTACGGATCAAATGCTGTAAAGTCGACGGTGTCGGGCCCTTCAAACGGCCTCTCAGTGTCGGATAATACTTGGCGATCATTCTACGAAAAGCTGCAGTTCAGAGTCTCACACTCCCTTATGTGCCAGCTCGAAGGCACAGCACCGATATCATCGTCTTTTCCTCGACAACAAGAAGCTTTCGAGTTCGCAGATCAAGTTGCTGCACTCAGACGGCGTGTCAAAGCTACCAGCAGCGCATCGCCAGGAATTGGATACGGTGGTGACTCCACACCCCGTGTTTTCTCCTTCGAGAGTGCTGGTGATGGCAAACGGCGTTTCTCGTTGCCAGTTTAACTGAATTTTGGAAGAACTACAAGAAAACCCGCGACGATCAAAGGCATGTCTATGAGATCATACGTGAAGGAGTGCCCTGCCGACTTTACTTTGATTTGGAGTTCAAGCGTGGAATCAATCTGCATGTAGATGGTGATGCACTTGTGGCTAGACTGGTGTCCTTACTCCAACTTCAGCTTTTCGTGAGTACTGAAATTGCTGGGTCAATTACACACGAATGCTTCGACTTTGACGCTGATTTTGTAGCGCAGGTATGGTCTTCGCGTGCACCATCGAGATATTTATCAGCTGGATTCGTCAACACCCGCTAAATTCAGCCGCCATCTCATCGTACGCGTACAAGGAGAACTCCTGTGCTCCTCTGCTCATAACTGACGACTTCGTGTTTTTCATAGTTTCACTTTCCTGATGGCAACCTCTTCAGGGACAACCTTCACGCTGGAGCGGTAAGGGTCTCATCTTTGATATTGAAGCTATTGATGCAATATCTGACGGTGTTGTTGTGAATAGTTTGTGCGCGAGTTTATCAACGATCTTGTGGATCTGACTGACTACACATCCGCACCGGACGATCTACTGTCGCCATTTCTCGTTAACACCGAGTCTGGGAATGACCCTGTGGACAAAAAGCAGCTTTTCATCGACACCGGTGTTTACACTCGAAATCGCATGTTCCGGGTATTGGGCTCGTCAAAGTTCAAGAAACACGCGATCTTACGTCCACTCAATGCTGCTGAAACCGAGCTCGATCTCGACTTGTTTGTAAACACATTAGTGTGTCCGTATCCATCTCTTGAATCCATGGAGCTCGATCGAAAGACGAAGAATTACCGACTGCTTCGATGCGAGTCGTCTGTAGTGTTGCAACGTAGCCGAAAATCTACCTATGCTGGTGCCAAGAGTATTACTTCCTCATCAGTTGAATGCCGGCGATCGATATATCCCATGTTGGATGCGTTCATTCGCTCTCAAGCAACAACAGGTGGTGTTCAAGGCGAAATCCGTGCAATTCAGATGTTAATGACAAGCAACTCGACGGTGTTGGCCGTACTACCTGGTCAAGAGGATGTTCAAGAAGCTGAGGATAATGCAGCTAAACCACAACCGTGGATGATTATCTATCACATGGCACGCAATCGTTGGTGTGCGAACATTAGGCGCCCACACAAGAGCAACAATGTCATGTTCATTGTGGACATCGACCAACGCGTATTTTACCAGAAATGTCATGATCCAGCCTGTCAAGCTATAGATTTCAGGTACGGCGCGTATCCGACGTTTTGTCGATATGATTCAGCACGAACTCTAACTTTTGATACGTTCTTCGTCTGCATTAGGTCGTCACCACAGCCCCTCCCTCCACACATCAACTTTAGCGTAGATGAAAAGGAAACTCGAAGCGATCATTGCTGACAAAAAGGCTACAGAAGAGTGCCGTCGGCCGAACTGCAGGAGCTTACAGAGGCCACTGAAGAGGCTACCGGCGGTAGCCTACCGCAACTACTGTAGGCGTGGCCACCCTACGATTGGAGGGTACACCAAAGTACCGCTTTTCGCCATGGCAATGCTCTGCTCGAGGAGTCATAGTTGTCGAGTCACAAGACGACTTTTCACGCCAGATCCTGGCCAATCTTACGAGCTGTCCGTCCGTACTGGGGTGGAGATCAGTTGTGCGTTTGATCATGTCCCGACAACGACGAACTGCGGCTCTAGTCGCTGGTCTGTTCCTTGGTGCTGTCGGCTATGCAGCCGCACTCCAGACAGGTGACGCTCAGCCTGGAGACGCAGCTTTCCGGATCGCGGAGGCTTTTGAGAGTGTTCCAAACGAGAACGTGACGAAACTCCTGGACGACGTGGTGGTTCCCGTATCGCTAGAAAGTGAGAAGGCAGTGCCGGAGACGGAGCCGCGTGATTTGAGGCCAATCAAAGTCGCAACAACGGAGCACCGTACAGGAGATCTCCCGCTCAGTCTGCCCTACGGAGGCGCACTAGTCGCTGTCGAAGCCACGGCTCTCCTCGTCGGTGGAGCTACCATCGCCGTCCTTGCTATCGCCAAGATCAAATCGCGGGCAACATCGATTCAGTACGACTACGACAAAGGTGAGCTCTTATGCCGATAGTGATGAGCAAGAGTAATTCCTTACTCTGTCTTATCTTGCATTCTTCAGACCACGTTGACCCTATGCTGCAGTCGCTATTGTACAGTGACATGGACTATGCTGCAATCTAAACAGGCACAAAGTTATTAAGCTGTAATATGCTCCTTAAGCTTAACCAGTTTCGTGTTTCAGCTTAATTTCGCGTCGTCGATCCTGAAAGCAACTTTACAGTTTTGATAAACTGCTGCAACTAGCTCATTCATGCCGACGCCTCGGATCTCCGTTGCGCTGAGCAGCGCAAGCTTCACCATGACAGGTTCATTGACACCCGTCGAGTCCTCTTGGAGTAACAAAGGCGTATCAACAGCATCCAAAACGCCGCAATCAAAAACCTTCTCTGCATACTCAGCGGAAGGGGCTTGATCTGGTGCGTCTGTTTCAAATAGTAGCGCTTCCAATGGCGATTCCTTACAGCACGCTACCGTCTTCTTCATTCGCGGGTCTGTCAACTGCTTGGCGTTTAGCGAGAAGAAAACTCTCGTGTCACGTAGCCTTAGGAACGACCGCATCATATCTGGCGGACCGCTATACGAATGCAGGACAAGAATTGGTGGCAATCTCCCACGCTTGTCAAATTCTTGCAAAATCTCCAGCAGTTTACCATAGTACCCCACGCAATGCAGTACGCAGGTTCTTTCCAACTCCGCCGCTATCTCGAGTTGTGCTCGAAATGCCTTCACCTGCATTTCCAGCGGCACCTGTCTCCCTCTTGCACTCTTGCATAGGCCAATCTCCCCCACCTATAGGTAAAATTGACAAGAAGGTCAAGAAAACTACAAGTTGAAGTTGTAATCAGGTTTGACAGCCGTACATTTGCTGCTGGATGTAGCGTCAATATTGCCCGAAGCGGTTTTAGACTGTCTGAAGTCATGGGCGACAGCTCCTGAGCCCACCATGGATGGACGCCAAAACATGGTACAACACTGGGCATACTGTTATCTTCTTGCTGCGCTATTAACTGCTCCAAGACCCGCCAATCTCGTTCGTGAGTGGCGCAGGACACGACGTGAGTCAAATTAGCATTGCGAGCTCTACGAAGCACGTCTTCGAGCGTGCGACGGCTCGGTGGAGAGCCACTGGACCACAGTCGCTCATCGTGCAAGTGGCAATGCGCGTCGACGAGTGGAAATGCCATGAAGCAGCGATGAAAATGTGACGACGATTTGAGGACGTAAAAAATAATCGAAGTAAAACCTGTTGAGATGCATAATGTCACGATACCTCTCCTGTCAAACAACCTAAAATTTTTTCGTTTGAAACCCTTCAACCCAAAAAAATAAAAATGAGCGCAAGACGTGCTGCTTGGGAGCCCGCGACGGAGCAGACGCTGCTAGAGCTCTTCGAGAAGGCGCGCCAAGACCCGGAATTGCGCACCAGCCGCAGCATTAAAGCCCGCGCATGGGCAGACATCGTCACGGAGCTTAACAATCGTTGCAAGACGTCACTCTTCCTTGGTAAGTAATATTTTTTAATTCATAAAAGACAATTAATTTTTATTGTGAATAATCGACAGACCAGATAAAGTCGAAGTATACGCGGCTTATGATCGACTATGATCTGTTCAAGGAGGTCGGAGGTGAGAACTCGCTTAGCGACGAGCAATGGGACGAACTCATTGAAGCGCGACCGGAGCACGCGGCCAGATTCCGCCAATTCAAAGAGCTCGGCTGCGCTCACGTGGACATTTGCCGTCGTATCGCTGCAAGCAAAGAGGAGGCGGAGGCGACACCAGGTCGTAAGCCTAAGGCGGAACGCAATCCGCGCACCAAGCGGGCCACACGATCGGATGGTGTGCAGCCGGACCCCAAGAAAGCCCGCAGTGGGGACGGTTGGTCCCTTAGGGAGGAGAAGCTGCTGCTGTTCCTGTGCTGGAAGGCCAAGAACGACCGAGAAGTGTTTGGAGAAGAAGGACTGAAGCCACAAGGCTGGACGGACGTTACTACTGAACTCAACAAGTTCTCCACGGCCAATTTCAACGAAAGTAAGTTGCTGTCGAGAGGTTTTAAAACAATTATTTTATTGTTTACTGATGATTGTGTGCAGAGGAGGTGAAGGAAAAGTACATGGACTTGATGCAGCGCTACAACCAGTTCAAGATTGCGACAGGGTTCTCGGGTGATCTCTCCACGACCCCCAAGGACGAGATGGACTGGGAGCGGCTTATCCGCGAACGTCCGGGACATTACTCGGCACTTGAAAGACTCAAGGACTCTGGTGGCTTCCCGTTTGTTGAAGCTTGCAGTCTGATTAAAGGTGAGCAACGCTTGCATTTTAATCTGTTTCATTACAATTCCTAACGCATATGCCCTGCGCCTTAGGCGATACGCTGCCCAACGGAATGGGCCCTACAAGTACCAGTGAGTTCTTGGAGACTGGAGCACTGCAGCTACCGGCACCTGCTCCCATCCCCAGCCAGACGCACTCGGCCCATGCTATTGCTAGTGCTCAAGCATCGCTCTCGGCTAATGCTCTCTCGTACTTGCTGCCAGCGACGGCTAACCTGGTGACTTCTACGGCTCCATCCGCGGCGAATGGGCAATCTGAGGGGGCTATCCCTGGTGTCAGTGCACCAGGTACCCCTGCTGTCTTCAGCCAAGAGCTGCACGACAACCTCAACATGTTCCTGAAGACGGCGACGGCCTACCTGGTGATGCTCATTAACGATCACAACGGGCAAAGAGAGCTCTAGTTGGGCCAAACAGACGGAGGAGGCTAATCTGTTGCTTTTACAATAATTGAGTCGAATAGCATTTTGTTTGACAAGTTGAAGTCATGCCAATCAAAGAAAAACTATGAAACAGCATTTGCTGAGACCGTTACCTTTCAAATAGCTTAAAAATATCCTCGCATTTGATCGCACATCTCAACAATGAGTGGAGAGACCATGAAGCAAGCGTGGGGCTACCAACGCGCTGTGTGGGATCACGCCAGGGAGCGGGTACTGCTTGACGTGTTTGAGAAGACCCGTCGAGACCCAAAGCTGCGTACAGACCGAGGACTCAAGTCCCGGGGCTGGGACCTTGTTGCCGAACAGGTTAACGATCGTTGCAAGAGCACCTTCAACGTTGGTACGATCCGCTAACAGTAAATCCCAATGAAGAAATATAAACATGCCATGGCTCACACTAATGGCTATGCTGCAGACCAGCTGAAGTCCAAGTATGCACGTCTTATGATGGACTACGAGCTGTTCAAGGACGTGGGCGGAGAGCGCAACTTAAGCGAAGAAATCTGGGACCAACTGATCGTGGACATGCCTGACAGCGCCGCTCGACTGAGTATATTCAAGAAGTCTGGATTTCCACACTGCGATGTTTGCCGTCGTATTGCTATCGAGAGGGACGAAGGAATTCCCACTGTGAAGCGACCGATTGGAACGATTGCAGAGTTGCCCGATACTAAGAGACGCCAGTTGGTTCACTCGGGTGCTCGAAAGTCGAGTCGACTCTTTACGTGGGGCCCGCGCGAGGAGAAACTGGTGCTGTTTTTGTGCTGGAAGGCCAAGGTGAAGCGAGAGAAGACCAAGGACAACGACGAAGTTACCAAACCTAAACAAGTGTTCCTTGATGCTACGAATGAGCTCAACCTGCTTTGCAAGACTAATTTTACTGAGGGTAAGTGCTTCGTTGTGAGCTGGAAAGGATGTGACAGCCGCTAATCACTCTTCGTTGAACATGTGATATTACAGACCAGTTTAAGGGCAAGTACTTGGAGCTGATGCATGGCTACGAACAATTTAACAAAGTGACAGGCTTCTCCGGTGACCTTGACACGGTCCCTAACAGCGATGCAGACTGGGACAAGCTCATTCAAGAGCATCCAGAGAGTTCGCAAGAGCTTCAGCAGTTAAAGAGCAAAGGAGGCTTTCCATACGTCGAGCTGTGCAGTCTGATCGCAGGTACGATTCGACGTAGTTTACTGAACTGCAACGCTGCGTATCGTAACATTTATTTTTTTTTGTATCTTTTGTTGTGGGTGCTACAGGAGACAAGTCGAGTGATGGAATGGAGCCTGCAAGTGCCAATGAATTTCTGGTGACGGGAGCGCTCAAGCGATCGGAAGTTGGAAACGAACTCAACACGGAGTCTGTCAACGCTGTGGCTGCCGCCCAGGCCACGTTGTCGGCCAACACTCTCTCGCAACTGCTACCAGCTACGGCAACGACGTTGCCTACTGGGCAGCATGACCCAGCAGCGGCTGCGATGCCGGCTTTCATGACGCAAGAGTTGCACGACAACCTCAATATGTTCCTGAAAACGGCCACGGCGTATCTCGTCATGGCCATCAACGATCACAACCAGGAGAGCAACAAGTGAGTTCGCACAGCGCCACTTCAACTTGTGTCTGTTTTTAGTGCTTTTTGCACATAGTTTTGCTGTAATGGGAGTGAATGCTACTTTTTTTCTTTTTATCTAAATGATAAATAGCATTAAAGAAACAAAATTTGTTTCTTCAATGTGCCCATAATTGCGACCCAAAATTAGGGCGGACTTTGTAGAGGGGCGTAGCCCACCTAGGGTTACTAGGTGCACACACTGTGCACTCAGCAGGGTTACGCCTCTCTACAAAGTCCGCATGTTGCCAACTGAGCTTCTTTTTCATTACACATCAACAAATGTCTACAGTACTATTTTAGAAAAAGTCCGTTACACACTTGACCAGCATACACCAAAGTCTCTATTAGAATTCTGACGCTGCATGGCATCTCCCGGACATAACGGCGCGGCCGCGTCGCCGCGCTCGAGCTTCGTGCTGCTAGAGAGCGACGGCCAGCTCTCGCCTGGAACACACAGCGACGGCGGGACTGTGCGTAACCGGCCCGGCCCGTACCGAACGCCCCAATCCCTGCACTCGTTACGTCGCTTATACCCAGCCACCCCGACAGCCCAAAGCGATGGCGACGGCACCCGCAGTGAAGGCGGCGGCCTCCGCACGAATTTACGACGTCGAGAATCCATCAGCGACCTGTTTCCCATGCCTGGGGCCAGTGTCTTCACCACTCCAGCCAATATTATGCCCACCCGAGAAGCCTCGATTCTCATTGATACAGACGTACAACAGGCCGCAGCACAGGACGCAGGACACAGAATAGGCCTGCAGCCAGCAGGCTCTTCGATTCTCCACTCAGTGGTGGAGCAGAAGGGCGAATTACGGGGTAGCAGACTCACCAGCTCCACTAATGCATCTGGACGGAACGAGGTCTTTGAAGGCGACACGCTGGGCCACAATACGCCAAGTGAGAACACCAGATCACGCAGCAGTTTCCTAGACGGTATACCACCCATGGAGCCCGTAGAGCGCGGTGCTCGGTGGATGTTGAGGCTCCGAAGATGCTGCAAATGGCAGAATAAACAGATACATCGCTGGAGGTTTCGACACAGAATGGCGTCGCTCTGGAAACGTATGATGCCCAATTGGGACTCTTTTGTACTGAACGTGACGTTGGCGATGGCAATGATTGGTGTCGCTCTCGCAGTGGCCATCGCCAAGGTGCTTTCGGATGCAGCGCCGGATCAGCTTCACATGGTCGCACGATGTGCTGTGCCTGGAAGTATGGAGAGTTACTCGGCGTCGACTGCGTACTTGGCTGGAGTCCTCATCCCTACAGTGAACAATGTCGTGTTTTTTGTCGTGTCGCTGTGGATGGGACTGCTATGCAGTCGTAGTCGTAAACGTGTGCTTCGAAGCGCACCATGCAGCATCAGCTCCAACCTCAGTGCGTATATTGTTTTTACTTGGTGTTGAATGTTATCTAATTATTTTTTTACCTCTGTATCTTAACAGAGTCGGCGTTTATGCTTCCGTGTTATGAGGCGATCTGGTATACTATCGCTGCGCTGTCGGCTGCTGGATTGGTGCTGTATTTCGTGAGCTTTCAAGCGTACAAAAGCGATAGTGGCAAGACGTACAAACCGTTGACATTGGAGGATGATCCCAACTATCCGTGCAGTGTAGTGACTATGCCATCCGTCTGGGTGTTGCAGCTGCTACCGATGCTTATGATCCAGCGTAGCGTCTCCCAGGAAGCAGTTCTACGCGCTATCTGTTACTCGGGTGCAGTGTGCGTCATCTTGGTGATATGCAACATGACGCTGTACAAGGTCGGCCACGACATCGCAGACGCGATCGCGATGGCCATCTACGTACTGCTGGTTCTGTTCTACTTCTGGGCCAAGTTCGTCTTCCACGCTCGATCTACTTTCGACTTCTTCTTCGTCATCGCTGTGATCACTTCGTTCGCCAATATTCTGAGTTCGATATTGGGTATTGCTCACGTCGACGCGACAACTACATTGCCAATCATTCACTGCGTTGTCACGGGACTGGACTCTCTCATCGTCGTAGCTGTGATGCTGTCACTACGCGCTGATACTCGATACTGGCTTGCAATTGACGACAACGGATCCGGTTCAACTGCTTCGTCTAGCGCAATGCGTCGATACGTGAATTTACTATCGGAGCGTGGTATGATCACGAATTTCTCCACTCGTACGTCGGTATACGACGTGCATCACATGATCGAGGAGCACAGGCACAACGTCGTGGACTTCTCATCTCTGGCTTTGGACTGCATTATCGCCCAAGGTGCTACGTCTATTGTGATGCGCGGAACGTTACGTAGAAGCACTCCTGTTCCTATTGCGCTCAAGATCTACACGGATGTGCAAGTGACGAACGAAGAAGTCCAACGGTTTTCACGAGAGACGGCCTTGAATGTTCAGTTGTCGCATCCGAACGTCGTTCGCTTCTACGGTCTCTGCGTGGTACCGCCGTCTATCTCACTCATCTTTGAGTTCTGCGAGTACGGAGCGCTGGACGTGACTTTGCGTGAAAACCCCGAGATCTGGACGCTTGCAGCAAAGCTCAAGGCGTGGCTGGACGCGTGTCGTGCTGTAGCTTATCTGCACAGCTTCTCGCCTCCATTACTGCACCGTGACATCAAGACGGACAACTTTTTAGTGGGTCAGGACTTCCTCATCAAGCTTGCAGACTTCGGAGAAGCCAACTTGCTGCGACCACGGACAGATGGAACCATGACGATCGCCGGTACAGTCGACTATATGGCGCCGGAGATGATCAAGGGCGGCAAGACAGCACGGTACGGCACGGCGGTAGACGTGTACAGTCTCATGATCACATTGTGGCAGATCATGGTACCCAGTCGCAGTCCTTGGGAGGCCAAGTCGCATCTTGAAGTTTATCGCGCTGTGGAACATGGTGAGAGACCTCCGTTGCTTCCTACGATTCCGAAAGCCTGCGCTGAGATTCTTGAAGCTGGTTGGGCTGCTAATCCAAGCGATCGTGTTGCTGTGGAGGATATTATCCCTTCAGTTCATCGCTTATGGCTGCTCGCGATGCACCAAAAGCCTCTGAAGCGCACGGATTTTTGAGAAAAATGTTATCCGGACGATAACTTGGTAGGGCCTGTATCTATTTTGTAATTTTTGAGTACCTTGGTCATAAATCACAACTCTGTTAATGATCGTGGAGGCCCCACTGCCTCTCCTTTCTCCTTATGCCGGTGCTTTCGACTCTTCTTGTGATGCGAAGAGGATGGAGTTGTGTCGTCCGTATCTTTCTCTTTTTTCTTTTTCTTCTTGGTTTTATTTGGGCCGGGAGTTGCAGAACTGTTGGAGAGAGACTTTGAGGATATTCCTTGCTTCCGTAGTACCTTGTCTCGCTGAGCTTGTCGCTGTTTGGCTTGCAACTTCTTCTTACGCTCCTTTTCCCTTGCCTGCATTTGCTGCCAGTCCGCATCGAAAGCATGTGATTCAACTGCTCCTAGAACCGGTTCGTCATCCACTGACACTTCTTCTGGATCATCGAGACTGCCATCTATTGACGGGGTGCGAGACGACGATGGTACTGATGACACAGCGTACTTCCCGAGCTCCAAACTCTCATCCAAGGATGGAAGAGACGACTGTTGGGTGCTGGGAGCACTGACAGGCACACCAAGGGCAGAAGGCCGCTTCTTAGAGGGTTTGACCTCAAAACTGAAAGCCTCGTCGTCAGGGAGAGCTTCTTTATCCTCATCTTCATTGTTACTCTCGTGATCGAGAGTGTTCAGGTCCACAGACGAAGATACTGACAGGAAATCCACGTCCCCAGACTTGTCGAAAATGTCGAAGCCAGAGTCTCTCTTGTCGTGATCCGACTTTGTTTCGACGAGCTCTTCAACGAAGCTCACCTTGGAAAGTGGAATCGGGACAGAATCATCTTTTTCTTCAGTTGGGATCACCTCCTTTGCACTGGAATTTGGTGAGATGTCTTGAATTTCTGCATCATTCATCGAGACCGGAGCTGAATCCATATCCGCGTTATCATCCTTTTTCACGGCGGCACTTTCACTAGTCCGCTCATGAGGCTTGCTAGCATCCTCTGACTGCAGAAGATACTCCAAATCTTCATCACCAGTAAGACTGAGATTCACTGTCTCCTTCTCCATCGTGCTAACTGACATCCAGTTCGATGCTGCGTCCGCAAGAAAAGAGTTTGGAGCTGACGTTTCGACTTCCTCACGCTTAGCCGGATCATGTACCTCCATCTCGCGTTCAGAGTTAGTGTCCAGTGCGCTTGGCTCCAAAACAGCATCTTCCGTCGCTTTCTTCCTGGCAGTATTATCACCAATTGATTTTGATGAACCTGACTTGCGAGGTTTATGCCGTCGAGACTTGGTCTTCCGCATCTTCGCCCAGTTAATTGAAAAGACCTCTTCCTCATTGGCTTCATCCAAGTTTAGTGGATCCACAGAGTATGAGAAACCTCCATTCGCTTTGCTTACAGATGCGACAGACTCCATGGTTGTGGCACTACTGGACGAATTGTCATTCACTTCGTCATCCGTTAAGGACGTTGAAGAGACTTGGGTCAACAACGCGCTTGTTTCTTGCAGAATCGGCGCAGGTTTCGACTCTTGCGCGGATTTGTTGGACTCTTCATCCAATCCTCCATACAAGTTAGCCACATCACGATCATTGGAGTTATCGAACAGCGCATCAATCGGGTCTTCCTCCTCGGTTTGCTTCACGGGCATTAAGACAGGAACAACATCAACCGAAAGTGGTGTAACCAAATTTGTCGAATTGGCACCAGTATCATCATCTCCGCCCTCCTTCCGTCGAGATTGCTTACCACGTCGCTCCTTTAGTGACGTGAACTCTGGTTCACTATCAGATTCTTCTTTGGCTGGCACGAAATCTTTAATCTTGCGACTCGATCGACGTCTTGATTTCGACCTTTTCTTAGTAGGTTTTGTTGCAAGGTCTGCGTCATCGTCGCTTTCCTCGTCTTTACTTGCTTCCGCCACCTTGGCTCCAGTTTGAAAGAGAGCTTCATAGCTAGTGGCCCCACCTAGAGTTTCCTTTTCATTCGGACTATCCTCGAACAGATCCGCGAAAGAATCTCTGCGCTTCTTGACATGCTTCTTCTTGCTAGGAGGTCTCCGTTTACTCTCCCTCTTCGACACAAGCCGAATTGAAGCAGCGTATGGATCTTTCGCCTTGCCATCATCTTCGTCACTGCTGTCGTTGTCAAAAATACTCTGTTTCCGAACACTCGGCCTTGCACTCTGATGACTGACACGCGGTTTATTGCTGCCTCCGCTTCCTTTCCGATTGCGAATCAACTGCTTCAACGCTGCCAACTCGCTCTCCAGAGAACTAATCTTGTCCACGATAATCTCCGCGACCTCGTCTTCAACCTCTTCTCCTTCGCCGTCCTTCGATGCAACAGTAAGAGCAGCAGACTTTGCAATTGGAGCGTTGTAGTCCCGTTCGAGACTTCTGTGGATATCTTTGTCAACCTGCGAAGGCTGCGACTTCGGTGACTCTGACTGATTAATCTGTCGAGTAGCTGCTACGCGTGGCGGAACTCGAGCTGCCACGTATCCTCCCGTTGCAGGATCGAACACATAGTCATTAGGTTCTTCAAATTCCGCAAAGAAATCGTCAACAGATTCTTTTCCTGTAGGCTGTTTCAAAGTCGCATCACGGTTCAAGTCGTCCATGATATTACCGAGCGGAGCAGGCTGTGTAGCAGCAGGATCGAATCGAGACGAGCTGTCCTCACGCGGTTGAAGACTCGTGGGGATAGCATACGTGGCTGTGCCAAAAGCAGGAGTTGATCGCACATTGCTCCACGTAAAACCAGACGCCTCCGCTTGGCTTGCATCGTTTCGATCGTTCAGTAATGACATGGCTGCAGACTGTCTCCATGCCGCAATAGGGTCATCAGTTCGAGTAGGGTTCTGTACTACTCGTGACTCATCTCCAATCGTAAAATCATCTGCTTCATCAACTGATCGTCGTCGATCAAAGCGAGAAACCCCAACTCCAGCAGCAGCGTAAACTCCGGCCACACTTGTACTCTCTCCAACACGCGCAGCCCAACCATTCGCAGCTCGATCTGCATTGCCTGCTATGTTGTTTTTTGGAGACTCAAAGAGATCATCAAACGTACCTCGACGTTTACGCTCCGGCTTGGGCTGAACTTGCTCGTACTCTTCACTCGCACCAGTTCTTGGAGGCATGGAGGCCTCAAAGCGAGAGCTAGCATCCTTAGCAGCAGCAGACGATGGCATAGTGTATCGAAAACTCTCCTGTGTAGCTGAACCTTCTCGAGTTGCTCCGTAATAATCCAACACCGTGTGACGTTCCAATACTTCAGAAGCAGGTTCGTCCGTCATGACGTCCTCATTCTGTTTTTCCTCACGTTCAGCGGGTATCTGCTTGTCAGTATTACTCTTCTCTGGTACAGGCGTAACAGGCGGGGCCTTGGCAGCTTTAGGAGGTGTAGTCGCCTTCTTCCCCGACTTTGATCCCATCCCAAAGAATCGTTTTAGAGCTCCAGCGAATCCACTTTTCGTATTTCCAACAGCATCTTCACCAGCATTGCCACCTTGACGACTCTCAACTGGTGAGTTAGACGTATGCGACGGATGGTCCACGATACTGTAGGACTCCTGGCCACTTGAAAAGCGATGTGACGGGACGCTCGGTGGCAACGCTGAGCCGTTTACCCAAGCCATATCACTTGCAAGCTGTCGTTGTTGTTCCTCCTCCTTCTTACGTTGTGCTTCTCGCTCCGCTATAGTAGCTTCAAATAAACCAGGTGAGTCGTCAACGACCAGTTTGTCAGCGTCATTGTCATAGAACGTAGGCTGGGCTGATGTTGCTGTAGGACGCGGCATTGCCATGCGTGGTTCATCTTCCGACGAGTACGAAGGATTCAGTTCATCCATCGTCATGCTCTCGTTTCCCCGTGCACGTGGCTTCTTTTCCCTCTTCGCTGTCGACTCTCGACGCTTTGTGCCACTAAACACGCGTCTCAAGGTAAGTCGAGGCTGAAAATCCTGGCCAGAAGGTGCACTGTCATCGGACGTATCGTGCGACTGGCTTGTATCGTCATAACTGTACGGTACAGCTACAACTTGTTGCTTTGGTCGAGGCATAACAAGCGATCGGTCATCATCGTGGCCAAGTCCTGGACCACCCACATCGTATTGGAATTGCTCCGAATAGTACCCATTTCCAGTGAGTCGACTGGGTTTGATGCTGTGGTCAGCGTACGTTGTAGCTGTCTCATGCTTCGGCCGAGGCATTTCCACAGAAAAATCATCCTCATGTCCAAGACCTGGACCCCCAACATCGTACCGGAACTGGTCGGAGATGTAGCCATTCCCTGTAATTCCAGCAGTCAACGTACTACCAGCCATCGGAGCAAGCACTGACTCGCTCGCACTTGTGACGGTATACGTGTCTTTGACATGATCTCTCCATCCTGGTCCCTTCGATCCGCCGTCGCTATCTTCGCTATCACGAGTGCTCGCTCGTTCCGGGACATCCGTAAACCAGTCATCATCTGCTCCATCAAATAGCGTAGTCGACGGTTTATCCTCTGTACCTGCTTGCTTCCTGATGGGCGTTGGTGCTGGTGCAGTGACTTGCGCTGGTTGTCCCTTCTTGTCGAGTTTCTCTCTTTTCTTCTTCTCTTTGCGGCCATTCTTCTCGTTTTTCTTCTTCGTCTTCTCATCACTAGATTTAGACGATATTGGTGTCTTAGCGACAGCAGAAATTGCTCCGTCCTCACTGGAATCATCAAACACACTCGTATCTCGCTGACCAGCGAGTGTCTCCCGGTCATACGCCTCTTGTTCAGCCACTAACTGGTTGTTACATGGCACACACACTCTGTGCTTGCGGTGCGACAGCTCGAAATACAAAAACGCCGAGCAGTCCGAGCACATGACGCGTCCACAGTGGCGGCAGTGGTGTTTGCGTTTCACAAGGGAGAAGTCCGCTCTGCAGAGGCCGCACTTGGCCACATGGACGTCCGATTGCCACTGTACGTCGAACAATTCCTGGCTGCTTTTGCGTCGTAATTTCCCGTGCCTTTTGCGGCGTTTATCCTGCTTTCCCGAGGCTGCCAGGTCTGTTATGTTGCTCGTCGTTGAGCCGGCTCTGTCCCTTACGTACGACCTGGAGACGACGCTGCTGGAGGCTGCAGGGCTACGAGTAAAAGTCCGACCTCCCGGTGTCACTGGCGGAGCAGCTGGAACCTCGCTCTTGCGGGGTTTCCGCGATACAGAAGCGGAAGAAGCAGAGGGGCGGGAATTCCCATACAGATCGTCGAATTCTCCGTCATCCTGAAGCGTACCAAAGAGAACAAAACATGTGCGTGGAAAGGAGAGTTAGAGGAAGTTGCACAGCGCGGATAGAGGCGCTGAGAAGGCGCGCACCTCGTCGAAGAACGGGTCGTTCATGTGGCCGGAGCTGCCGCGCTCGGTCTGTTCTCTTTTTTGGAGAATGAAATTGATTGTGTTGCTTCAATTCAGACGCGCAACTTTTATGCAACTTAAAGGACAACTTGCTGACTTCAACGTCAGCCTACATTTTGTATGCAAAGTTTACTGTGAATTAATATTCTATGTAAGCTTATTACTATTCTGTATCCTCCGCTTCGATGTAGATGCGGCTTGGCAGTGAGAACCCATTGAAGGTGGAGCCTGTCGCGAAGCTATACGCCCCCATGCGGGGAAAAGCGATCCAGTCGCCGACTTCCAGGACTGGAAGTGACGTCTCTCGGGTGATGGCATCCTTACCGTCCATCGTCGGACCCCACACACTGCAAGGCACAGCTTTCGACTCATCAGCGTTAGCTGCCTTCAGTACCACGGGAGTCGACACCACACACAAGTGGGGCGTACTGAAGGAGCCATGTCTACCGTCGTTCACGACGTACATATAACGCGGCAGGCCAGCATCAGCTTCATCAGTGGAAGTACGTGCACGCTCGGTGAGCTCTGGATCCACTTTCCTTCCGATCACATTGACGCTGAGCGTGGCGCACGCTGACACAAAATACCTCCCTGGTTCAGAGATGATGCTCACGCCGCTACTTTCGGGAAAGAGCTCATCCAGCACTGCATTAATTGCCTGTGCCGCAGCTTCAAACGTGACAGGGCCGAGGTCGTCACCAGCGAAGCCACCGCCGAGATTCAACAGCGTAAACTTGTATCCAGCATCAAGGCCCATTGCGAACGCCTGCTTGGCGCGCACAATCGCGTCCACAAACGCGCTCGCTTCTAGAACGCCGACACCGACGTGGAAACACACACCGACAACATTGAGCTCCAGGCGCTTTGCTGTCTCCAGCAGTGCCGGCACGTCAACCATAGGGGTTCCAAACTTAGGGCCGAATTGATGACGAGCCTTGGAGTCATCGACTTGTAGACGCAGCACTAGTTTCGCCTCCGGAAATTCGCGCTTAATCTTGACAAGCTCGTCGCTCGAGTCGAACACGGTGAGAGGCACGTTGTGCTCGCGTGCGAACCGCAAGTGCGAGCGCTGCTTCATCGTGTTGGCGAAAATGATACGCTCGGGCGGGACTCCGTGGCTCAAAGACATTGCCACTTCCGACTGACTGGCACAGTCCACACCAGCACCGAGTTTAGCCAGTAGCGACAAGACGCGCGTGTCCGGGTGGCATTTGACGGTGTAGAATGGCAGCACGCGCGGAAGCTGCGTCACCATGCGTCGATACTGGTTCGCAACGTGCTGCAGATCGATAGTGTAAAAGGCGTCTTCAGCCATGTCGCCCAACGACTCAATGTGGGCTCGAGATGCATTCAGCACTCGCTCGCCAACAGCAGCGGTAGTAGTCATCTTGGCACGTGGTTCGAGCGCAAATTGGGTAATGAGGGTCCAATCTCCTTCTTGATATGCTGGAGGTGGTTGCACTAGAGGCGACAGCCGTCAGTGACCCCGTCATTAGTGCGGTGGCACATGTGCATTGGCCGAAAACGAAGACGTCCGCGGTCATGTACACACTGACTTCACTTGCATCCTTGATCATTGCTGTCACCAGCCAATGCTTGTGAAAACACTTATTGACACAACGCAACGGTTGAAGAGATGTGGCGGTAGTGGGGGATGGGCATGTTGCAGTCAAGATGGCTACACGAACATGACAGCAAGTCGATACGTCCGACGTCATCAACAACGCTGAAGAAGCTTGCATGGACATGTGCCAGCTTCAGTTTGGTCTTATGTGAGCATCTGATCCGCAAGGCAAGTACTGACGCATTTCAGCTGAGCCACTCGCTCTTTTGCCGGTGGAAAAGTTCGCGAGCTCAGAAGACGTCACGCCGAACTTTCGTCGCGAATCTCGAGCACAGCCCAGTGCGTGCCGAACAAACGAGGCTGTCGTCGTCCTCTGCATTGCGAGCGCATGCAGCCAGCAGCCACGCGATTAATACACGCAACGGAATCTTCTCCAAATCGCGGACGCTAATGGACTCATCGAAAAAAACAAAGAGGTTGTCGGATTGCCACCGGTCAACTTTCCGATCTCGAGCGCCTGGATTCTGCCGCAACACGATCGCTAGCTTTTGTGGGTAGACAGCGCTGTCAAAATGCGGTCTTTCCTCTTCAACCTGTCGTTGCCAGCCCAGCCGTTGCCCGCACACACCGCATTTTGCAGACCAGCTGTAACCACCGCGCTTCTATTGTGATCGTTTTGACATTCACTCTGCTTCCGCTTGGTGAAGCGACGTAAAAAATAAACAACAAGGCGATTGATCTACGAATTAGGCACAGACTTCACTTCTCCTTTTGCCTTGTTGCTCACAGTCTGCGACCTTCCATCGAACAATACACCACCCACCACCTAACAATGGACGTTGACATGTGTCTCCCCACCTCAGGGAGAACTCGGCGCCGCGCTCGTCCTACCAGCACTCGTTTACCCGTCAAGTCTTCCGCGCTACTCGCAGTTCTACTTACACTGGACAATGTCAACGGCCAGACGCTGCTTCGAGGCCTGAAGACGCCTCTGGATGTCCATAACGACGTACAGCGACTGCTGGCAGGAGGAGACGAAGAGGGAAACCCACACTGCAACAACTCGGCCTCGTTCTTGGGGGTAGGCAACACTCAATGCCTGCACGAGAACCTCCGCACTGCCGTGTTTCTACTGACCGTGATCGTGGCCGTGTCGATCGGGGTGGACCGACTTATCCACCACATTCGCGCCGCCATTAAATGTCCGCAGCTTCGTAAGATCGTGAACCGCATCTTCGAGGAAGTGATGATCTTGGGCTTCTTGTCCATGGTAATCTTCACGCTAAACACGAGTGGAGCGTTGAAGTCTTTGGCGTTGAACAACCTCACGGCGTCGGAACAACTGCATTTCTACGAGTTCTTCCACTACATCGTGTTCCTCACTATGATCTACTTCATCGTGATTGTATTACTACTGCTTTTCATCGGTACAGTCGTACCAAAACTCGTCTGGGAGATCAAAAACCACCCGGATCAAAGTCGCGAGAGCATCAGCGACATCCACGACGACACGTACTCCTCACAATACCCCAGTTTTATCGGCAGTGACGACTGCGGCGGCACCCGTCGCATGCGGCATTCCTTTATCCGAGACGCGTCCTCGTTGGCTCGCGATCTTAATCCTTACAGCTCAGGAAGCAGCTTCATGGACGATGGAGATCGCACGCTTGACACGCCGTCTGACGACTGCTACATTGCCATGCGCGGTCGTCAACGCTCAGACGCAGACGGAGTGAATCGGATGGGTAGAGCGAGAGCTCCATCCGGCATGGATCTGGTCATGGGATCGCGCGCGTACAGTCTCCTACTGCAGAGATATCAAAGGGAAGGCTGGTGGTTCCACTTCAACATCCGCAAGCAGTGGAATCTCTGGAAAAGTTTTGAAATCCTCGCGTACAACATTTGTCAGAACCGGAGTGGCTACATTTACAAAAACCCATTGGAGATGGAGCGTTTATTTGGCGTCCGACCAACGCGTTGGGCTGAACAAGAGCAAGAGACCGAGGAAGCCAAGAACCGGATGACATACGCCAAGTACCATGTGCTCTGTATGCGCAACCTGCTGTACCACATGACGAACATCCACCCAAGTGCGTTCCTAATCCTGCTCGTCATTTGTCTGCTGCCGTCATTTTTTCCCAATCAAGACCACTGGATCTTCATTGGCGTTGGAGGCTTGCTGTTGCTAGTGAACGTCGTCATCTTCTTCAAAGTATTGAAGATCTTACGTGGCATCGTTGACGACCGTCTCCGTATTATCACCAACAGAGATATCCAAGCACGACTTGACAAGGTGATCAAAAATTCAGGAGCGCGTAACAAAAGTCGACCAAGCAAGCGCGACCAGAACTCTGATGCTGACTCTCCTCCAGTATCTGTAGATGACTCGACCGAGGAGGACTCCAATCCCGCTGAATATGGTCGACACAAGAAGGCTCCGATGAAGTTCAAGGCCGCGGCTCTGGCTGTCCGCGCTGTAATCCGCATGCAGATGTCAGCATTGTGTCACCGACAGCTACACCACCACGACGATCGATTCTGGTTCAACAGTCCGAAGCTGCTCCTTCGACTCTTCCAGTTCGCGACAATTGGTCAAGCTTTCTACTTGGTGTGGCTTTCGCTCGTGGAGATCAGCAGTATGACGAATTCTTCAGCCTCCAATGGTGGCGGATCGGCGCTCTTGGCTCTCATGGTGATTTTCCCAGCGTTGTCGCTCTTTGTCATCACTCCACTTACAATGCCGAGTCTTGTGCTGGTTATGAGCTTAACCGGTATCTTTGTTGATCTCAATGCCAGCAATGGCGAAGAGGAAGGTAACCACCGCAATGTGACCCAGGAAGAAGTGAAGACCCACACGAGGATCATACGGCGCTCGTTCCTCAGAAGTCACTACAGTGAAGGAGCTGGCTATCAACCGCCTCCTATGACACCTCCACTTCTGCCCGCAGCGTCGCCAGCTTTACCAGAACCAATCCCGGACATGAGAAACTCTGTGGCTTCTCCGACAAACGTGTTTCTTCGCGTTTATGACTCTCCAGCCGATGCACGACGCAGCTCGGCACCATATTACCATGGTAACAATACCGGTAACAGCTCTATCGGCCGTAGCAACTCGCTTGGAAACAACCCACTCACTCGCTGGATGAGTCACAGTCGATCGGTTGGCAGCATCGGCAGTGCTGGTGGAGATGACAATGGATACAGTTCAAGACGAGCATTTAATCTCGCAGCCTTCCAGTCGATGAGCACCGTTAATACGATGCCTGTCGCGAACAATAATGATGAGAACCCGGCAGCTCAATCGGCGTCCTCCTTCTCTAGTAGCACAGGCAGTGGGTGCAGGAGTCCTAGACCAAACAGGATGGAGCTCAACGTACCTGGTCCGACCATGAACTGGAGCCAAGCAAACGTTGAGCCGGAAGTACAACTCGGCAACAACGCTGCAGACGACAACAACGAGCAAGAGAACGATCTGGAACAGATCGCCAGTCCCGTATCGGCCACCTTCAAGAGCTACTGCTCCAAATACGGCGGATACCCAGACTTGTAGTAAGCAAGTCTACCGTTTCTATGGTGTCTGTCGTGCTATAACAAATCAAATAACAAATAAGAATCACAAAGGAGACATTACTATCAACGCAGAACTCACATAGACGCTCGCTTCTGCGCTTTTGAGTAGGGAGCCAACCATCAACAAGTGAGTGAGGAAAATGAATTTCTTTAAGCCCTTCATCAATGTGTCATCCCACAGCCAAAGCAGACCGTACCATCCATACATTGACACTGCACTTGATTGAGCGGATGCATATCCTTACTCCAATCCCATGGAGGTCGGTTCAGCAATAGGAAACCCAGGTCATTCAGTTCCCACTCGTGGTCGCAGTTAGTCCCAGTGGCTTGTAAGCGTATTTCGGTCGAAGTGCACGTTTTTCCTCCTAAAAGGGACAGGAGTTAGCTCAATGATAAGATCTGGTTTGTGAATTTTAAACACGTACCATGGACACGTTTTCGTCGGCATACACAAGTCCCAGATCGTTTTTCACTGCTTTCTGTGCGGCGCCATCGAACACGTTCGTATTGCTGACTGTGACACCCTGAGGAGCTATAGTTCCTGGTGGCATGCCCATCTGAGGCGGTTGATTCGGATAACCAAGTGCAGCTTGAGGAGGCACTACTGCGCCGGGTGGTGGAGGGCCTCTTGCCCATTGCTGCGGCATACCAGCGTATGGCGGGTAGCCTTGCGGTACCGCCATACGAGGAGGCGGCATAATACCCCCAGGAAACCCTCTAGGTGGAGGTGGAGGTCGCATCGGCATACCGACACCAGGTGGAGCCATTCCACCCGGAAACTGCATCGGAGGAGGCGGTCGGCCGCCAATAAACGGCACACCTTGACCAGGATAACCGCCCATCATAGGTACGTCCAACCGTGGCTTCTTCGCGACGTTTCCATCAGCGTCTGCAGCGTAAAAAAAAGCAATTGTTCAGTCCAATGCCAACTAACTCTATGGATTCTCTATAGCCTCACCTGGCACGCCTTCCATGCCATAGACCTCGACTTCGACGCTTTCTTTGCCTGGTTTGGCGTTCGGGATGCTCTTGAGCGTCTCCTTGTGCACCTGCTGGGTGTGGATGATCATGCCACTGATGGTGCTGAGCTTCTTGTGGCACGTGGGGCACTTGAAGTGGCGCGCTTTCTGGTGCAGGATCAGCACTTTCTCGTCATCAAAGTTGCGATCACAGTAGTAGCAGAAGATGCGTCGCTGCGTGGCCTCGCCGGCGCCGTCATCGCGCCGCTTCTTCTTGCCCATAGTTGCCGACCTTCTGCTGCGATCCGTTATCGGTGTATATATTATGTGTAGAACACAAACAAACGAATGTGGACAACATCAAATTTCAAATTGCACACTTCCAGCAACACACTGTATTTCACTATGGTGGGTGTGTTGTTCGTGTGTCTTGGCAACATTTGCCGCAGTCCAGCAGGCGAGGCTGTGCTCAAGGGCATCGTGGCCAAGAAGGCGGGCGCGGATGCAGCCTCGTTCCACATTGACTCGTGCGGCACTGGAGGCGGCAATCCGAACTGGTACGGTGCCGGTGGCTGGTCGTACCACGAGGGAGAAGCAGCAGATTCACGCATGACCAAAGAGGCCAAGAAGCGTGGCTACATCATGACGTCACGCTCACGGCCGTTGAATAAGCAGGATATCGACGAGTTCGACTACATCATTTGCATGGAGGATAAGAACAAAGAGGCTGTGTTGGAGGCCGCGGAGGCCTGGGGTGGCGTACCCTGCCGTGACCTCGCTGACCAGAAGATCTCCATGATGACCGACTACTGCAAGACCATCAAGGACGCCACCCGTGTGCCAGATCCGTGGTACGAAGGTGGCTTCGACCACGTACTGGATCTGCTGGAAGACGCTTGTGACGGGCTGTACGATCACCTTGTGTCCAGCAAGAAGTAGGCAACCTAAGTGACAATGAAATGTACAAACAGGAATACCTTTGCCTGGGTGTTCATCTTGGTGTGCTAATGAATATACGCAGAATAGGGCGCAGCTAAGCGGATTGGAGTTGGAGATTGCCATCATCATCGAAGGCGTTGAAATGCGGCGCTGCAGCTGTAGGTTGATAGTCCATGATCAAGCTGGCAGTGTCGGTTGCGAGCTCGAAGAAGTGCCCCAGGAAGTTTTCATCTTTGTCCATACCCACACGATGGAGCTCCAATTTAGGTTCGCTCTCTGGGGAGATTAACGCGACTGCAGCCTGCCATTTCGACGCGGGGCTATGCTCTTCAACTTCCATCCAATCTGACGCACGCAGCTCTCGACCCTCGTCTTCTGCTACTTTGAGTTCTCTTGCACACGCTACGGCAATAACGTCACTTGGTCGTGACAGATCACCGAGTTGCCGTGCGAGATAGCGCATACTTCCGGCTACATGCTAGAATAATTGTTTGGTTTGGTTAGTCTAAACTGCCAGGTGACAATCATTATCTTGCAAAGAATTAAAAGCCTACTTCAGTGTCTGCTGGAGATGTCTTTTCTGCTTGCATCAAACGCCGTGCATTTGTCTACAACGCAGCATAATGGATATGAGTCACAGTTATTGATGTAGTAGAAATTGCAGCGTTCTGACATGAAGAAAGCGGGAGTGTTCGCGTTCCAGACGTGTTGCAGCACGATAAAACCTCCCAACGTGAGCGATGGTCACCCAAGCAGGTTTGCCATATAGCAATTCGTTGTCAGGCCGGCGTCGTTTTCCCTTCAGCTTCGATAAGAACAGTTGAGTGGCTGGTAGTGGTGTGATTTGAGCTGTATCCTCGGCAATAAGTTCTCTATAACCACGACGAGATTGCTCAGAACGACGATATCTGCACAACTCCATCTCACGAGAAAAAGTAGAATCGGATTCGTGGAAGTTTGTTGCACTTTCGTATTGCGTGTTGCTTCCATTCTGTTCGCTTTTTCGACCATGCTTGGACCCTTTTAGCTTTGTTTGGATTTGTCGTTTGCATCGCTTGGGTGTATTGTCATCTCGACCATTTAAAGCGGATCGTGCGCTTTTTCGTGCGATAGGAGATAGCAAAGATGACGGTGGAGAAGATTCCAACCGACTGTGTAAGCGCGAACGAGTAGTTGGTGTAGTTGTCGATCTCAAGTCATCATTTTCTTCGTTTGTGTGAGGTTCAAGAGGTTCTGCTGGGAAATAGCTAAACCCTTGCGACTCATCTCGTGGAGACGATGATTCTGTTGATGACGATGAGAGAAAGACGTCTTCTTCCTGTAGTAGCTGCCTCTTTGCATCCACCGCTAACGTTTCCAACTCGCTCGGATGTACATCCGGAAAATGATCAAACATTGACTGCAGTGTCGGTGGCTCCAACAGTGGAGAACTTTGAAAATCAATCGGCAATGGGCTTTTCCCCGGCTGCAACAACGTGTGCCAAACTCGACAACCAGACTCAACTTCGGAGTCTGTGAGAATCAATTGTGATGAAGCAGGCAAAAACGCGGATGATACTGGGCACAAGGCCGTTCGCATCTCCCTGTAGTCTCGAATTTCGGCCAACACGCTGCCGTTGTAGTGCGCACATGCGATCTACGTCATGCAACAAGGACACAAAAAAAGTTATCCCATCGTTAATCAAGCGAAAGAATCGAGAGGGTCCGAAAGACGTTTGCAAACCATATCTGGGAGTCCTTCAGGGACGCGTCCGTTATCGATACAGGCTAGAAAATAACTTGAAGATCAAGAAAGATACGTTTTAGTCCTAAAGCTTTAGTAGGCGCTTTGACTAGCAAGTGTACCCACCTGGATTCAGCATCGTAAGGCTGTGCGAAGCCTTCAACACCTTCATTTTCCTTGGTCATATGACGACAGACGAAACCATCGTGAAAGAGCGCCACCACTAGCCCAACTGGCTGCTCGGCGTAAGTAGCTTTCTCATCAGTTTTAGAATCCTTTAGATCTCCATTGATGCTCAATTGTCCAGCACTTCGATGCAAGTCGTCGCTGGATCCACCTGTGTCTTCATCCTTGTCTACGTTGGTATTCTCAATGCCTTGTTGTAGTTTTAGTCTCGATCTACTCTCTGTCGTATCTGGTGTTATCCGAGTCATTGCTTGAAATCGAACCGGTAAAATCGCCACTTGCTTGTCAAACTTGGCAGAGGAACTGGAAGATTTTCGCTCTGGTGACCGTTTGGGTTCTAGTTTGAGAGCGTTGTGACTGTGGTTAACATCCGAAGAAGAGAGCGAGCGTCCCAATACTGGAATCCCGCTGTCATGTTCATGCCCAGACATGGAGCACTGCTTTGATTTGCGATACAAACGGATCCTGGCTCTTGACTTTCTGTAAGTTAGTACAAGTATCCACGCCTTTTCATGGTCTTCAACATAGTACCGTGAAATATGGAATGATGACAGCAGAAAAAATCTGTGGAAAAGACAAGATAATTGAAGAAAAAAAACGCCGTGGGTGGATTTGAGTCTAGTTACGCGTCGGCCTTCTTTGATTTCTTCTTGGATGGAACAGCCAAGTAGTCATTCACTGAGGCAGCAGCCTTCGAGTCTGATGTCTTCGCGCTCTGTTAAAAAAAAAAATTAGAAAAGAACAATGAGTCTAGACAAATATCATAACTATCACCCACCTTCTGGCTGAGGAATTTCTGCTTAAGAGCCTCAACAGAAGTAGCTCGCTTGTTCTCCTCCTGCGCTTCGGCCTTTTGTTTCTTGCGCTTCTTGCTGGTTTCCTTCTCGCTGGGCGCAACATACTCGGCCATCTTGTCGGCCTTGCGCTTCTGCAGAACCTGTAGCTTCTCCTCGTGCTTCTTTGCCTTCTTCATAGCCTTGCGTTCATGCTCCTTCATGAAGTACTCACCGCTCTCGATCTCCTTGTCCACCTTGCTAGCCGTCGGTGCTGGCGGGAACGGAGTGTACTCCTTCTTCTCACGAACCTTCTTGGGCTTCTTGGTCTGCACGTTCTGCTTCTTAAACGTAGGCAAAAAGCGCTCCCAGTTCTCGTCTTTAAGCTTAGGGTCCTTGGCCAACTCACGCTTGATCATAAGACGCTTGACATTGTAGATCGGGTGCACGTTGGCAAAGCAGTCCTCTACGATCTTACGCACGTTGCGTAGACCATGGTAACTGCCCATAGCCGACACAGTGTTGCCCTGTACAAGCACGTAGCAGTTGGTGAGCAGCTCAATGGCCTTGAGCGTGGCTCCATCGGGGCCCACAAGACGCTGACGGCGCTTGACGAAGCGCTCCTTGTTGCGCACAAGGCCGCCAATCTTGATGATGTCGCACTGCACGTCGTCTTCTAAGATCTTAACCGCCTGGTTTACAGGGATACTACGCGCGAGCAGCTTAATGAGGTCGCGTGCTTTGAGCACAATGTATGGGTCCGTGGTCTTGCGCGTGGTGCGCACCGTCATACTGCCCTCCACTAGGTTGAGTTCGCATGAGACTTTGTGCGCATCTAGAGCCTTGGTGACAATAGGCCACACCTCACGCAGGTACTTTTCGCGGTACTTGGGGAAGAGCGTGGCGAACGAGCTCTCTTCCAGCAGACCGGGCATTTTGATCTTCTTGCCGGCATTCTTCTCGTCCTCTAACTCATCTTGCCAGGGATCGATCTTCCAGTGGTCAATGTCTTCGCTATCCCACGGCTTGTCTTTGCGGTGGTTCTTCTTTTCGCGAGCCTCTGCCTCCACGTGGTTGCGCGGCGCGTCTCCGTCAAATTGCTCCATCGTTCCCAAAAGTTGCGGAATGACTCGTTGATGGTCTGCCAGCCAAATTCGAGAACAGCTGGTTTCGTCTTTGAGTACTTTTTGCGAAGTATTTCTATCTTTTTCAGAGCATTTTGTGTTTTACGATTCTGATGAACTGGTAAGGACGAAAACTTTGATATAACTTTGGCGATCAGTGTCATTATACAGCTTTTTCAGCTTATTTTTTTTTCCTGCCACAGGATGAAGTTCGCCACCCGCGACAACAGGAAAAGATACTTTGTCAAGAGCAACGCCCAAATACTACATGTATCACCAGGATGACAATACTTAGTAGGAAACTACAAGCTCTAATTAAAAAGATAAGCTGAAGCTGCCTCAAATACCTAAGGCGAATCAAGCAGCGTGCCGAGCACTTCAGTACAAGCGATAGCTAAAATCCTAGTAATATTGTCGCATCAATTGTGCATTTTGATTCTCCATTTTATAGTCGCTCGAAAGACTTGCTCCTACCCCTATTAGGACACATCTCTTCGTTTCTCACAATGCGTCAAATTCTTCTTGGTGGCGTTCATGAGGACAGCAAAAATACGCCGCCATAGCGAAGAATTTCGGTACATTCGCACAGTATTGCTGCCTTGAAGTGGCAGCTTCGGATGTGCAAAGAACCTTCTCGTCGTGTGGCGCACATCATGCCGAGTGCGACGTTTCTCGTTGCTTGAATCCATCCAAACAGTTTCTAGCTCTTCCGAGACCCCTGAGGCCATGGCAGACTCGCAGGCGGCGCTTCCAGTGTGTGATCTTCGCCTCGACGTTGCCGAGCCAGAAGAGGAGGACGCGAGCAGAAACAGCCTCGCCAGTGGTGAGAGCAGCGCCGTGATCGTCAAGCCGCCGCCGCTTCAAGTGGCCGTAGCCGCTGACAGTATGCAGCATGCACCCAACACTGAGCTCGTGTACCCGTGGGTATCCACAGATCCAGACGCGGTCAGTATCATCACTGAGTCCACCATGATGACATCTCCGAAGCTTTGCACGATGGCGGTGCGCTCGGAGCCCGGCCCACGCGGGCACGATGGCGTCACGACGGCGCTGCTAGGAGGCAGCCCGCGTATCTTAAAGAACAACGTTAACGGCGGAATGGAGCAGCCACAAGGATATGGATCTATGCAGCGTCGGCATTCCATCTTGCGCATGAGTGCTAGCAAAACCTCGAGTGGCAACGGACTAAGGAAAAGCGCATCCGTGGAGTTCGTACTAGATCATGCGCACCAGCAAGCAGCGCGGAGTATTTACGCCAGCACATCTTCCATTGGACGAGAGCCACGGTACGCAAAATGAGAAGTGGATGGAAAAAGTATTGATCGTTTTTATAGCTGATTCTTGCCATGTGTGCCAACTATGCAGTCGACTAACATTCGAAGAGAAAGCGGCGCTGTACCGAGTTCGTCCTGACCTCGAGATTGACCCGGTTCCGTACTATAATGATCAACTCGAGGAGCTAAACCGACGGAATCAACGCCGCATCATCTTTGCCATGTTCGGTGGCATGATCTCCATCGTCTTGCTGCTCGTCTTCTTCTCCATGTGGGAGCAGAACAAGTGAATCGCCATACAATGTCTGCAATATTCGATGAATATAAAGGTAGCGATCGACAAATGTAGGGGATTGCGCCAACCCGACAGAGATGTGAATACCAGAGTGTCGCGAGGGGATATTCTAATGTACCCATAAAGTTGACGACTTCGGATGTGGTGAGTATAGCTCGGAGGCGAAGGGTGTCACTACACCAACCCAAGCACCACGCGCCAACGCGTAGTATTTCTATATCGTATAATATACTTGTAATGATCACATTTTATTTTACTACGTTGGGCTAGCCCAAGCCAAAATATATACAGCGATTCATCTACAATTGGATAGTGTTGTTGACGTCTGCAAATGATGATTAAGGCAGGCAATACAAGCAGGGAGCTGGTCACGACCGATGCCAACAGCGATGGAATCCACGGGATCTCGGTTCTCGCTCATTATTATCAAATTGCGAATTTTTCCATGAATTTCATAGCATACTTTCAAACTGACCAATCGGAGGCCCTCATTTATAGAATCCTGAACCACTGGGAAACAAGGAAGCTAAATTCGTAATTCTTAAATTCGGTCAATCATCTCTTCCATTCACCTCCAGACGCCAAGTTCCTACCTGCCATGCGTCTCATCACACACAACCTGCTCGTATGCAACAAGAAGGGCGTGGAGAATGGCTATCCACTTGCTATCGAGGCCGAGGAGGTGGAAGTCGTGGCCTGCGACTTCCAGGCCGCTTTCGTTCGCAAGATGCTGACCAAACTGGATTGGAATGCGTTCCTGACTGGTGCCAAGGCGCTGAAGCTCGCGGACGGCCTCCCAGAGACGCTTCCAAGCGCCGAAGAGGGGGCCACGGACGAAGAAACGCTACGCAAAATCCACCACGCGCTGCTGGAAGTGCACGTGAAGCAAGGCAAGCTCATGTGCCCCGAGTCTGGCCGTGCCTTCCCCATCATCGACGGCATCCCCAACATGCTGCTGAACGAGGACGAGGTCTAAGAACACAGCAGTCAATCCTCTAATAGATAGATACTGTATACACGAGTGTTCATTCCTTCGGATCGTACGAGCGTTGATATGCCAAAACTAGGTTCATTATTTTCTGTGCAGTAGCGTAAACGACGACTCTTTGCAGATGCAAACTGCGCATTAAATGACTAAATCTGCAGGCTTCCGGAAGTAATCCTTACTGTTCTTGAAGTTATCGTAGCTGCAATTCGAATACGAACACAAAGAGTTAGCTGGTTGTTTCAGAACAGTGAGGGAATGTCACCATGTACCGGTCATCGTCATCATCGTTATAATCGTCTTTGTCCGATGGTCCTAACTGTGCTACAGCCTTGATCCACTGGATTCGCAGCTCGAAGTCGCCTTCCTTCTGGTCAGCAATTGCAAAGCCAACCTACAGCAACACAGCAAACCTTGGATGAGTCTCCAAGTTGATTAACAGTAGCAGGTCAAATGGAGCGAGTCGTACGCTTTTGAGCTTGGAAGGATCAAGTTCTGTCTCATCGCCAAGCTTCACGAAGCCCTTGGCCGTCAACAAGAAGTCACGGAATGGCAGCTACAGAAGAAATTAACGATTAACATTAGATAAAAAGGCGACGCAAAACGGCAAAGCAAGCACGTACCGTAACATCCACCCACTCATTGGGCGGCGTCCGGATGAAGCCCATGTGCAAATTGAACGGGTTCCAGCTCTCCATTTGCACGTTCATGCGGTACTCGCGGCCGTCGGTCATAATTCGCATGGCAATTCCTTCGTACCCGTGAAGCAGCAGCTCTTGCGGCACAGACGCCCGCACAGCGCAGTAGCCACTCCGGACCACACCCACTTCCGTCGGCTGGCAGTCCATACTCAACCGTCCAGTAAATACCGCTACATGCACATCCCAGTATTCGAGTCAGCAATTGCAGCGTTAACAGCTTACAACATTCCAGCTCACCCGATGGCACATTATCCTGGTTCTTTACGTGGTGAATAAGCCTCTTGGAAGTCTGTTCATCTTCTGTTGTCTCCTCTGTCTGTTCGCCTTTGTAAAAGCCCCACTTGCACTCGGACAGTCCTACAAAACATCACACTTGAGTATCTGTACCACCGGAACAGCGTACATACAGCTTCATTCACGCAATTTCAGCTTCATATAACAGACCTCCAATCGATCTGTCACTTGACGCTGTCCAGTTGGCTACGGATTCCTTGGCGTTGAACAGGAAAATGTCCTTTTCTGGCTGCAGCTTTAGCTGGAAGCCAAGCGCTGTCGATTACATTGCACACAGACCACAATACGCAGTCACAGTCAGCACAATAGACAGCAACCGCCGCATAATAATCTGCAGTCAACGCACACTGCTTGGAGCTCAGAAGCGTCGCATTCATAGACGTCAGCGCCTTCCGCCACAGCCCCATGGTGACCGATTATGGCAAGCTTGGCTGTGAGGACAATATGGCACTCGAACTTAATTGAGTACATACAGGAACACGTCGACTTTCGTCCAATCAGACAAAAGGTCAGACATTTTTACGATCGGAATCGAGGTGCTCAAGGTCCTGCCATGAGTCTCCACTTGCCCAAGCACAACTGGGGCACTCGGGGCATGGACGCCTACGAGAAGCTGGAGTGTATCGGAGCAGGCACCTACGGGTACGTTGACGTCTTAATTTCGAGCTACAATTCACTACAGCCATCGTATTAAACTGTTAAAGAGAACCGTAGTTTTTTAGCTGACAATTGTATGTTGTATGGCTGTAGCCAAGTGTACATGGCCAAGGATAAGGCAACAGGAGAAGTGGTGGCCATCAAGAAGATCCGCAGTCTCAATGAAGTGCAGGGCGTGAGTTGGCAGCCATTTTTAAGGAGTAGTTGCTGGAAAACTGACGATTCTGATGATATGATGTAGCTGCCGGTGACCACAATTCGAGAGATTAAAGTGCTCAAGTGCCTTAACCACCCAAACATCGTGGACATGAAGGAAGTGGTGGTATCCTCTGAAAATGACGATGACGACTGTGAGAAATAATGTTCTTGCTTTTAGAAGTTTTAATAAAGTTGCGACGTGTTGCTAACTTTAATAATTCCTGGCTTGTAGCCGAGTTTACGGACAAGGATGAGCCTCTGGACTATTGTCACGGGTCCATATACTTGGTGTTGGAGTACCTGGAGCACGACTTGACGGGTCTTATTGACCGCCAACACCCGTGAGTTGCTACTATTGATTTAACTAAGGTTTAATTGCAACGAAACTGATAACTTGCTGTGTTTGACAGTTTTGACGATACTGAGATCAAGTGCTTGATGAAGCAGCTTCTGGACGTCATGAAGTACATGCATTCCATCGACATCATCCATCGGTATGTAATCAATATCGTTTCTGATACAACTAGGATTTCTTGTCTGCTAAGTATGCTTCGTGTACAGGGATATCAAGTGCTCCAACCTGTTGATGACGAGGGATCACATGCTTAAAGTGGCAGACTTTGGTCTGGCGCGCTCATTGCGTGGAGATCAGCTGTTTACGAACAAGGTGGTGACTCTGTGGTACCGTCCGCCGGAGCTGCTTCTTGGCGCCACCAGCTACGATGCCAGCATTGATATGTGGAGTATCGGTTGTGTGTTTGCCGAGTTGTATATCGGCCACCCGATCTTCCAAGGCAAGACGGAACTCGAGCAAATCACAAAGATTTTCGACATTTGCGGGACGCCAACGACCGAGTCGTGGCCCGACTACAAGTTCCTGACACATAGCAGCACATTCGTCCCTGATAAGCCCAAACCCAAGCGTCTACGCGAGTATTTGATGCGTGAAACCACAGCAAGAAAGAGGATATTGCCCAAAGGAACTCTCGAGTTGATCGAGGCGTTGCTAGTGCTGGACCCGGAGCAGCGGCTGACTGCTGGAGATTGCCTCAAAGCCCAATACTTCCAGGCTCGCCCGTATGCCCCAGACGACCCAAAGAAGCTGCCTCCCATCACAAACCTCCCTCCGTCGCACGAGTACCAGACCAAGAAGATCCGCCGTGAACAGGCAAAGCAGCTGAACGGAGGTGCTAACAACGGCAACAGTAATACTGGAGCCGGCGGACGAGCTTCGCGTCCAGTCAGTCCGAGCGGAGGTCGCTCGAAACAGAGCAATGCTAAGGAAGGAGCAGAAGTGACGGTGAAGACGGAGATCAAGAGAGAGGAAGACCCATCGTCTGCTAAAAAGCGACGACGTGTGCAATAAGGGCATTGAACCTAGACTCATGACTCGTAGAGCTTTGAAGCGGTACATGTAGCCAAAACGCCGATTTAATTGCGCATTTATGTAGAAGCTGTCAATGCGTGAGGTAGCGGTTCCTGGACGATGGCGACGGGACGGTCTTCTGAAGCTGAGGCACAGATCAAGCACAAATCAGCTACGGCCTATGAGAGAGCAGAGTGTTTGCGTTATTTTACCTGCAGCAGTAACGATGGATTCTTGGTCTTGACGATGCTGTTGACCTCCTGCAGCCACGATAACGTGTTAGCTATTATATGTTGCTAAGGTTTGTACGGAGACAGTGACGTACATGGAGTCGCGTCTGCAGCACTTGAAGACGTGACTTCATGGAGGTGTAGCGGAAGGTGATATGCTGACGAATCGTGTCCTCTGAAGCGCGCATGAAGTCGACAGAGAGCAGCTCAATGAACTTGTACTCCATGTTCTGGATAAAATCCAATCGCGCTCGACCATCCGCCTGCATGAGGTACACTGCGAGGTGGTTATGTGGCTCTTTGATGCAGTTATTGAGCATGCGGATCAGCACATTGGCGTAGTCTGTGAAGTCCACCATGAGCTTCTGCTGCTCCTGCATGGCGTGGAAACTCTCCAGGTCGCACGTGTGGGTGTACAGGAAGAACAAGTCACTCTCAGTCGAGAGCTCCACTCGAACCACGTGAATATCTGTATCACTTCCCTGCAATAATTCAAGACCGTAAAATTATCAGAACAGTATCTTTTGGTAAAGTTGTGAGGATTTTACGTACCAGAATTAAAATCTTAACCTTGATAGCCTCAAGCGTTCCGATCTGTTGTGGAGTATTATCGGCATCCTGTTCAAGCAAAAAGGAGATTAATCAAAATTTACTTGAAAGTTTGACATGGTATAGCAATATTACAATGTTACCTGAATTCGCAGCTCAAATGGTGTTTCTCGGTCGTAGATAACTCGAAACCCACCAGCTGCAGTACAAAGTCAACAATCGGGTCAAAGCAAATTAATAACTATTGGACGTACCTAGACTCGGATCCATTTCGTCGGTGCTGCTCACTGGTACGTGCGCTTCACTCTCTGCGCCATTGACATCCACATACCTGGATGAACCGGTGGAAGAAGCCATGCTTTAGCGGTTGGCGTTCGCTATTCACGCCCAAAATGCTCGGGCAGTTTTGATTTTTGGCACTTTGGGAATATCAAGGGTCGTTGATGCGAAACAACTACCGGGAGTACTTGCCTGCCTACCCATGCATGTCATGGTCGATCGCTAAAAATACGAAATACGGAGTTGGTGCGACGAAAATGGACCATGATGAGCTTTGGTTCTCTTACCGCGGCATCCTCACATCACTACGTTTAGAGATCTGCATTGAGTAGCGGAAGACGGGGATATATCGATGTCTCCAGGTCATGGCAGTAATGGACTCAAATTGGCGAGTAGTGCTCCCAGTAAATTAGAGTTCCAAGATGTCGACGAGAGTGACGCTATCACGTTAGACAACTTTGACGAGACTGATGCTATGGCTGACCCCATTTTGACCAGCCCACGCTCCATTGAGGTAACACTATACCCTGTTTCTCTCTGCTAATGTAGACTAATAATCGTTGATCAGGCTTGTCGGATGCTCGGTGTTGAGCCTGATGAACTCATTCAACGACCTCTTGAGTACTTTATCCGCTCATCGAAAGGTGGGAGGGCTGAGGATCGCGAATTTGTCAATAAACGAGCTGCGAGATACGAGAAGAACCGCCAAATCCAGCTTCGCAATGTACGAGTACAACGTCACGAGCTCATGCAGGCTCAACTGGATGGAGGTCACGGTAGTATGTCGCTGAGAACCCGTAGTTACTGTCACTCCCCAGTAGGGGCCGCTCGTCTGGGCTTTGGGACTTTGCCCAGTTGCTGCTTGGCTTCAGTGCAAGATTCTACCATGCTAGGACGAGAAAAACGAGAGCTTGAGCGAATTCAACAGCGTCAAGCTCTTGAACTACAGCAGATGCTTAACTTTGAGCTCAAGATGGCGGAGCTTCATCAAGAACGAGAGAGAAAAGAACGAGAACAGAAACGAAGAGAAGAACAGTTCGCTATGGAACGTACTAAACGACAACGAGAAGCTGACGAACAGCGACGTAAACGAGAGATAGAACGAGCCGAACAGCATCGTATTGAGCTCGAATTGGCTCGGAAACAAGCTCAGGAACAGCAGAAAGAAATCATGCGACGTGAACAGCGTGCTAAGCAGGAAGAAGCTCGCCGACAACGTGATGCTCAGCTGAGTGAACGAGAACGTCGACGACACCAGGAAGAAGCGAGGATTCAGAACGAGATGTATCAGCTCGCTCAAGAGCGAGAAGCGGCAAGGAAGTTGAGAGAAATGCAGGAGCGTGAAGAGAGATTGATACAAGAACGAGAGCGACAGAGACATCTTAAAGCTCGAGAACTAGCAGAGAAACAGGCACGAAACACAGCGCGAATCGCTAATGTACTACAAGAGAAAGACCTACAACGTAAGTATCAACTCGAAGAAGCTGCACGTAAGCAACAGCAGAGTGAAGAACGCCGTCAAGCGTTCGAAGAGGAGCGAAGAGTGAAAGAAGAAGAAGTACGACTTCAAGCACTGCGGAAGAAAGAGACGATCGAAGGCGTTCAACACCAGCTAGCGTTGATTGAAGAAGAACGTCGAGAGCGACTTAGAGAACAAGAACGACAAGCTCAGCTCCGACTGATGCAGCGTGAACGCGAGAAGCAGCAGCAGATCGAAGCTCAGCAACGTGAAGAGCGGAGATTGGAGAGTGAACGTCGTCGAGCTTATGAACGTATGGAATCACAACTCCACGAAAAACAGTCTGCTATCTTACGAAAGACTGAAGAGAAGGCGATGATAGCGCAGAGGATGCAGGAACAGAAGCACGCTTCGGTACGAGCTCGTCTTCAAGACGCAAAGCTACGCGAAGAAGAGATCCAATCCGCTCTAATGCGTAAGAACAAGCAGGACGAGTACCGTACCAACTTGCTGCTTTCTCGAATCGAGACGGATAATCACCGTATCCAGCACCTTAAGGAGCAGAGAGAAACCCTCCTTCGTCGTCGACAGCAGATTAAACAAATGGCTGAGCGTCAAAAGCACGAAATTCTCGAGAGTTTCTACAAGATGAAAGTCACCAAGAAGATGGAGTTACCCAAGCATATTACAGCAAATATGGTCGCTGTACGACCGCGATCTGCCTCTGCTACAGTGTTTACTACTCAATCAGTGGACGATTCGGTACTATCGAACCCAAGAACAACGCCAAGGACCAGTAGGAGACCGATGAGTGCTGTAGCAAGACGTCCACGTAGTGCTGCTACACGTCGTCGACCTGTTACCAGCCGAGATCGCAAGAGTCCGTCGGATTCGGACTCGTGTGCTGGCCCTTACAGTGCTGATGACGTGGAGAAAACCAAAGAAGTGGAAGAAAATGAAAAACGTGCTGTGATCAATGAACTTCGAAGACAACAGAACGAAGAATTGTTGAAGGTATTGGAGGAAGAACATCACGCTGAAGAGCAGCGGGAACATCTACTACGACAGGCAAATGCTGCTCGTCGTGAACGTGTGCGGATGGAGAAACTTTTCGATAAGGAACGAGCTCTCGCGAGTGAACGGATCATGCAGCTTACTGATCGCCACGAACGAGCGTTGGCAGCTAAGATGGGTGAACTTCGAAGTTAAACAGATTCGATTTAAAAGCACCGGAAGTAATCACACTGTCGCCGTCGGGAACACTTTTTCTCTAGTGAGCAGACTAGTTACTCCAGCCACGCAATCTCAGTAGTTGATGGTTAGATCCGTCACAACTTGCGCATAAAGCTACTCAACAATGCAGCATTAAATGTGCTAAGACATGGACGAACTACGCACCGGTAACGCATTTCAGTCATTTGTTAGTTTTTTATTTTTCCAAAAACCTTCTACTTCGAAGCACACGTCTCCCACGATCAGCATAAATCACAGTCAAGTCCGTGCCAGGAAGAAGAGCAGAATCTCAGCAACCAATATCCAATGAGTTTGCTCGAACTAGCACGAGAGGTAACCAGACCTGATAAAAGGGATATCTCTTCTCTTCAGTGTCGGATTTAACAAAAAAAAAAAAGAGAAACAGGTAAGACATCAAAATTCACAATGCTTGCCTACCTTGATAAGCTTAAGAACGGTAGTGACTCGAGACGGGAAATGACGTCTAGTGGATCATTAGCGGCTTCATAGCAACCTTGGAAAATCTCAACGGCCGAACCCAAGTCTCGATCATCCCAATGGCGGATAGGACTCGGTTTTTCACGATGGAAATAGTAGAAGCAGAGAGCACGCCGACATCTCCGACTTCCAAAGGCCTTGTTGGTCTCTAGTAGACCTTTTTGCTTTAATTGAAGAGTTATTACGGCTACGTCACAGCGTCTGATGATACCGGAAGGTAAGTAAGCAGCTTAATCGCTCTTGGTGACGTGATGTCGGTTGCGTGAACCATTACATAAAGAAACTAAGAACAACGCCAAAGATCAATAGAAGACCGATGAGTGCGGTAGCGAGACGTAGTGCTGCTACTCGTCGTCGACCTGTTACCAGCCGATGCTGTAGAACACGACTCCGAATCACAGCTAACATACAAAATATTAACTACTACTTCCTCTGTCCGAAAATATAAGGCAGTCCCTGTAATTCTGTTGTCCGGAAATATAAGAATTAAGTGCGTGTATCCATTACTTATTTCAACTGAACCGAACTTAGCCTGGTAGTAGTCGTGTAACGTAGACTTTGCAATACCGAGACTACTCGCCAAAGTACGGATGTCGGTTCTGTCTTCCAGGGGAAAAAGTTCGATGGCCTCGTTGAGTTGGACGCGGAACTCCAACGTCAACCGTGACTTACGGCCACTTCGACCCTTTCTACCGCTCTCGTAGTCGATAGGAGCTCCTGCTTGAATGGCCTTAACCGATCGATGCCACAATCGCGAGATCTGAGCGTCTCCACAAGGGTATTTAGTCGCACAAGCTTTAATGGCGCCTTGAGGAGGGGATAGCTCGGTACTAACACTCAGGAGGTAGGCGATAACTTCAGCACGCTCGGCTGGGGTAAGGTTCTTGCGGGTGCGGCACTTTAGAGCGGTGGGAATAGCCATGGGTAGGAACGACGAAGGAAAAAGGTAGAGTGGGGTGAAGTGGCACTGTTCCGGAGATCGTAACTTTACTTCTAGCCAACGAATTTATTCGTGAAACCCACCAATCGCATCATTACGCGGAGCGCCTTACTATTAGCCAATTAATGAACCTTCATACGATGATTTGAGCTTAAAAATGAAATTTTTGGACAAACTGCCGTATATTTTCGGACGGAGGAAGTACTACTAGTAAGTAAATAAAATTAACCCACCATCAGTCTATTTCAACAAAAATTACAAGACGATTCTAATATTGATCGCCATTGGTACCTCGATTGAACTTGATTGTTCACCCCATCGGAAAGTTTAGATTTGTGACGTTTGTTCACAGAGTGATGGTCACCAGGGATCCCGAAAAATGCATTGACGGAAAATACAATACAATAACCGGGCTAAAATTATTTACTTTCCTAAATATCCACATTAATACAATTATTCACGGATATAATCAGATTCCAGTAGTTACGAATTTTCAACTCAGCGCAGCCAGCCAGCTTTGGTTGGCTGCCAGTGATGGATCGAAACCCCAACGCCTTCAGACCTCACTTTCCATTTCTCCGATGGCAACGCAAAACTACACGAACGCCCGTATAGCGAGCTTCTACTACACGGCTGTGGTCGACACTGCGGTTTTAGCATGCAGTTTACGCAGGGAATATATTGCAGTTATTGATTTCTTCTGGATCTTGCACTGCATTACTTATTTATCTGTCTTCAAAGTTGCACGGCATTATTTACGAGCACATGAGGTTTTGTATCAATGAAAATGCCGTATTCGGCATCCCTGATGGTCACAACTTCATTTTTCGGGATCGGGGTTCTCATTTTCTTTTCTCACAAAAATGTCGAGTGGTTTGTATGCGGCGTACCAGCGGCAAGAGCGGCTACGGCTGAAGCGCCATCGATCGGAGAATCGTGAATATACTCGTAGTACAAGACAGAAGACAAGTCAGTCGCAAAATATCCTGTCTCTCATTTTCCAGGTTACTGACGAGAACGTCGAGCTGAGTATGAGGCTCAACCTGGCCGTGGAACTAAGAGAAAAGATGTTTCGACTATATGTGGATGAGGTCGTGGAATTGATGAGAACGCAGCATCCTCTGGTTATGAAACTCGCAAATGCACTGCTGCGCACAGCCTACGTTCCATTGCAGCAGTTGTTCTTCATGTCGTTGACGAGTTTACTCAGTACTCTGAATTCCGGGCGCAGTGAGCAGACTACCATTGTGCGAGAGCGTGTTTGTGACAGTATAGGACATTTAGACGCAGTTTTGCTCATCGCTTTGTCAGTGGATGACGTTGTTGGAGTGATCGACCCGGTACGTCGATAGACTAGAACACAAGAAACGAATATGACGCTGGCTTGTGCTGCGGTTGCTGTTTGACCAGGGAAAAGCGTTGTGGGTGCGGGAGCAAGTGAACGCGCTGAATAGAAGCACCAAGGTATGTCGAACGTACATTGTACGGAAGTGTTGGATCTCTTCTTGTGGGAAAGACAAGATGGTACGGTAGTTGTTAGTTATGCATGATTATTTTGTGGATTTACTTACTAATTGTCGAGTAGATGCCAACTACAGTTGACAAATGGCTTGATTTTGGGGAAACCATGCTGACATTTTACCACCAGCTACCACTGGAGACCATTCTGTATAACATTCCGTATACGTGTCTGGAGACACTTGAGTTCGACGAAACCATAACCTTAGCGCTAATCTTCGTCAAACAGGTAATTGATCTCGCTGGAATTAACCTTATTGCCTTCGTGGTGGATTCTACGGCAAGTTTTTCTTACTTCCTATTCCTTCGTGTCTTGCCTTTGATACTAAACAATGTGTTTTTATGCAGGATTTTACCGAGTTTAAAGATACTCTATGTTCGATGAAACCTGAAGGAGTCAAGATTCTATCTACCCCAGATCTTGAACGGGTACGCAGCACCTTTTATTTAAAAATTAGCTGATAGCGAGTACTTCATTCTGTTGAATATCTGATCCGATTTTGTTTATATTCGACCACCGGCGCAACCCACGGCAACAACTTTTCAGCATCGCGTCGTAGCTAATGAACGAACACAACCTCTAAGCCCAATTACTCACAAAACGATCCCAACACCACCAACGATTTCTCCTGTGGCAAAACCCGATGAGCCTGACCCCAAACGTACAAGGTCATTGCCTACTCGATCGGTGAGTCTTCCGGGCGGTACCAGATTGCAGACAAATCTTCGGAGTGCTGACACACTTCAGCCAAGGAATCGGCGAGCTAGCGAGGAAACTACACAGATCACAGAATGGCAACAGCGTGCGCCAGAGACATCGATGGAAGTTGCAAGTTTGAATGACAAGGCCTAGTTCTTCGATCTGTAACAAATTCTCAACCAGTGCGCCAGAGTTCGGCCGCTTCGTTAGAAGTGGTGCCTACCCGCTTTACTCTATCACACATATCACGGAACCTTGCTTTTTGGAACCGACTTCGCGGCTTGTTACAGGCTTTAACCAACGGGTTACCGCGGAGACCTATTCTACTAGACAGTGGTTTCACTAGCCCAACAAACGACTTGACAAGAGCAAAAGCAGAGTGCCTCAGAGACCTGAGAGAAAGCATGGGATACGTTGAGCCGGAGTCAATTACAGTGGTACACTTGTCGTATTGGTTGATGCTCGTGATAGCAATTCTAGTCATTATACCCTGGGTGATCCAGTTGGCTCATTGACAGGGAGTTGAGATGCACCGAATCTTCCAAACACAATATAACAAACGCTAAATACACGACGCCCATGCTGTAATGGAACTGTAATTGGCCTCTGGAGCCAAGATGGAAGCGTTCAATCATTAACCACAAACAAATCGTTTGGAACGCGATATACTGTGTGTGAATATGATATGATATGAAAGTGCTACAGGCAACGTTATGGAACGAATTAATGCCATTTTAACTAAGATGGGTTCGATGGCTTCCAAATATGGTTCGATTTTCATGTTTCTAGCTGATTGATCATCGGCTGGACGCTTCGACTCATTCTTCAGAACCAGCAAGTGAACTTGATTCTTACCCGGTATATAATTCTCCCCAAAGCACTTGGGGTTATTGGGGAAACTACCACGCCCCACTGCTTGAAGCCATGTGGAGATCCATGCTCATCGAAGCGTTGCGGATGTCCATGGTCGTCGTTCAGCGCTGCTGCTTCATCCATAGTTAGCCAGTCGCTCCCCTTTTTCGTCAGGAAGTGCAGTAAGGTCCAGTGCACTCACCAGCAATAACACAATCTCCAAACCTTGGAGATATTTTATGTCGATACATGTATTATAACGTATAATATCGATTAGAGTTCCCCTAGCAAATAGAGTGCCCTTCGAATAGAATGCGGTTCCGCAGAGCACTCTAAAAAATATAGTGCGATCAATTAGAGTGCGCTAACAAAACAACCTTTCAAGATCTGGACAGTGCAACCTAAACCACAGGGGGCAACCCTCGTCCGCCTGAGGTCGAGTTGGTCGCAGCATGGGTAATGAAAGCGTGGCGACAGACGCCAGACTCTGTCGTCGCGAAAAGCGTTTCGATCTGTGGTTTTAGCGATGACCCTACTTCGTGGCACATTGCACGTCACGACGTGTACGGGACCAAGTTTCAAATGGCTTGGGAACTCCGTAGTCACGACGGTGCCCAAGATGACAGCGGAAGCTTTGACGACTGTGAAAGCTACGAGCACATCGATGGAGACGCTGGACGACATCGTCATTGAGGATTAAACTGAAGCAAAAGATATGTTAGCGAGCTTGCAGCTAGGTTAATGACAATGCAGAAGGAGACTTACCATTTTAGCACGGAGAATTAACGTATTCGATGGGAATCGAGCCCGCGACAACCCTGCTCCCACTTGGGGCCCTCAATAAACCCAAGTGTCTTAACCACCTGAGCTGTCAGTGCTGATGTCGGAATAGAGTGCGCATAAAATAGAGTGCGCAATTTCGATTTTACCACACTCTAAAAGAATAGAGTCCCGCACTCTAATACGTATTATACGTTAATATCCGCAGAGGAGCATAAAAAGAATCATCATTTGCACACTCCACTTAGAATCGCAAAACGTTCATTTTTCATTTTTCAAAATCGGTTTCCATTATTCTTTGACACCAACGGGCAAGACATCACAGATTAATCCGACACACAAGGCATGAGGCGCCAAATGTCATCTCTCTAATAACGACAATGTTGAGTTGATTATGAGGAATTCTCAATATTGTATGCTTTCTCATGGCCTCCAGTGTCTACTTTTTTTTTTTTTTTAATGAACTACCGACCTTTGAGAACTTTTTTTATTAAGAGTCGCGTCCAGAAGTGACTCGTCATTTTCTAGTGGGTATGCGATCCGCCGTGAAGGATAATGGAGCCGCCGATCTCCATACGTTGCAAGAGGAGCTGAAGAAGCTGGGTATCAGTGTCGTCTCTGGTCGTCAGGATACTGTCATCTCCGTCAAGATTAAGGGTCTCGCTGGTCGTGCTTTGATTCGAGGACTGAAACTGGCCGATCAACTCCTCCAGGAGAAAATAAAACATGCCATCAAAGCGTGTACTGATCCAGCGACAAAATTCTTCACAGATCCGACGTTTGGACCTTGTAGTAGTGATCCAGATGGAGCAGCAGCAATATGCAAAGCTGGGGGAGTTATTCCGTCGAAAGGGGGATCGCAGCATCAAGCAAAGGTTATCGGACTTTTGCAACGAGGGAAAATCCGCTGGGAACGACCAATTTATGCCCCGGATAACGAGGAGGATGATATTAGGTACGTCTTTGAAAAAAAAATGTTAAGAAGCACTAGTGATAAATCATTTATTTTTATGAAGTCCACAGGAAGACGAGGACGATATTTACGCAATGTCTTCTAGTGATAATGTTTTCGCTTCGAATGCGACGTTGTTTGCTGATGGAGTATCATCTGGAGACGTTATTCAGGGAAATCTGGGCGATTGCTGGTTTTTGAGTAAGTACCAAATGCTAATTTCACCATGAACCTCTTCAAATAACAAATTGGTGCTTCTCCAGGTGCATTAAGCGTGGTTGCGACACGATCCGACCTACTAGCGCAGACATTTTGGCGACGAGATCAGCACAAATCAAAAGGGTTGTTTGTCTGCAAATTTATGAAGGTTCGTAGCTGTGCTTCAAATTTTGAGGCTAATCAGCTCTGACTGTTTTTCTCGCTTTAGAATTTTGTATGGAACTATGTTCTTATAGACGATCGCTTGCCTGTCTTCGGGTTTACTGACAAGAAGCCAGGGAAGCCTTATTTCGCTCGCTGTCGCAATCCGAACGAGCTGTGGTAAGTATGAAGAAGCAACTCAATTTTGTTGGAAAGCTAACAATTATTATCTAATTGGGTGAACAGGGTATCACTGATAGAAAAAGCATATGCTAAGTTGCATGGAAGCTACGAGGCGCTTATCGGAGGCTTCATTGATTGTGCTCTGAACGACCTAACGGGCATGTGTGCAGAGCAAGTGATTCTTAGAGAAGGGTTTCCTGGGTTTGGTGAAAATCCTTATACCCCTGCAAAACCGCAGCAGAAACACGGTGACCCGTTTTGGGAGAAAATTACACGTTACAAGAATTCTGGAACTCTGATGGGGTGCTCCATTCAGCCACCTGTAACCTCAACGAAAGAGGTCGCAGTAGAGTCAAGCGCTGGAAATGGTTTGTACTTCAAGCACGCATATGCTCTCGTGGATGCTGCAGACATTAAAACAGCGAAAGGGGAATATGTTCGATTGGTTAAACTACGAAATCCGTGGGGAATGGGAGAATGGGTAAGAATTGTGAGGAATCGATGAAAATAATATCTAACAATATTTTTTATTTCATAGACTGGGCCTTGGTCAGATTCCAGTGATGAGCGTGCAGCAAACGAGGACGCTATCGATAAATTCTTCAAGATTATGAAGCGTAAAGTTGGAGCCAATGCTGATAAGAGGGTGTTCATGACTCTCAACCCTCAAGGACGAGTTGGCGCTGATGAAATTTCCCAAGAAGAGGTGATCGAGATCAACGCAAATGACGGGACTTTTTTCATGTCGTTTGACGCGTGGATGCAGTCATTTACGCATTTCTTCGCTGGCATAGGTAGGTTTGAATTGAATTTAGTGACCTATTTGAAAGTTCTAACTTTTTTTTTTAATTAAGATTTCCCGGATTCCTGGCATGGTCGTCGGTCAGAAGGCAGCTGGAATGAAGCCAATTGTGGCGGCAATACCACGAAAAGCACGTGGATAAACAACCCGCACTTCGAGCTGATACTTGAGCAGCGAGCTCGAATTTTTGCGTCTTTGAGTCAGGAAGATCCTCGTGGAAGTGAGAATCTCAAGATTGTTCCAGTAGGTTTCCATATCTGCTCACTGAGTCCAGTTGGCAATGACCCAAACAAGTTCGAGATCAGAGAACCTACGAAGAAACTCGATGCGTATTATCGATCGTATAAACCAGTGGATCGAGACAACTATATGACTGGCAAACGACCGGAACCTCTTCCACCGGCAATCATCCCCGGAACAGTAATACCCGGAATTGATGATGACGGCGTTCCACAAGCTGCATACACATTTAAACAGGCTGTTTCGGTACGATCTGTATGTTGTACCAACTTTTTTTTCTAGATGATTGACTTTTTACTAATAAATAATTTGTAGGTGGAAGCTACCATGGAACCGGGCAGATACTGCATCATTCCAAGCATGTACATGAGAACGGTACGACTGTTTAGAATTTAAACTGTATACTGATTAACTAACAGAATTATGGACAGGATAAAGTTACTGGAAACACCAACGTTGGTAACTTCTGGATCTCGGTATATTCAGATAAGCCTACATTTCGTTTGGAAGGTGGTGAGAAAATCGTCGAGGAAGAAGAAGGTGATGAGGAAACTCAGACTAATGGCAGCCAGTCCTACAAGAATTTGAACGCCGGTGCGACCACGTTGACCAGACAGTTTTCTTCTACCAATTCAAGTAGGAAATCGGAGACGATTGTGGCAACAGGAAACGCGGTGGCAGCTGAAAAGCGACGGAATTTTGAGAACGAGAAAGAGGAACTGTTGAGGCAAGCAAAACGCTACGGAATCGGACTTCGCGAATTAAGAACTGCGTTTGGTAAGACACCGAAAGTCTCAAAAGCTGAATGCCGACAGAAATTACAGAAACTTGGTTTCAATGTTGCAAGTTGGGATGATGACAAGATCGGATTACTTTTTGGAGGACTGGAGGAAGGACCGACGTCTGGATTGATTCAGACTGATCGAATTCTAAATCTATTCACTCCAGATATTCAGGAAGAGAAAATGGCGTGTGAACTTCCAGATATGGAAGAAGATGGAGATACTCCTGATAGTATACATCGAGAAGGTATTCTCGAGATCGAACTGCACGGGGCAAGTGGTCTAGCAGTCGGCGAAAAACGACAATCTCTTATTCAGCGTAAGGTTCCGATTCCTACTCCTACGTTTTCAACGTCACAAATCTCTCTTCGTCGCAAAATTGCAGCTGAAATTTTGGAACGAGATCCATCAATGGCTTGGTATCTCCGCCAGTTTGCGAAGAAGTCGACTTTGTTGGCAAATACTCACAATACTTCAAAGCAAAACCGCGACGGATCTGTGCGGTCTCAGTTGCATATTCCAACTCCTGTGGCTGCGTTTTATGAACTACTGGAAAAGGAGTATGCGGCTCGGATTATATCCCGCTGTGACGTGGAGGATGAACTTGAGTACGTCGTTCCTGTCAGTCGTACGCCCAGTTACTCGAAGAGAGATGGAATATCACCATTCTACCCTTCACTATCTTCTAAAAGCGCTCCAGAGTGGAATCTACCCCCTACGCCTTTAAACGAACTAGAACTGCATAAAAGCAGCCGCATCCGAGACCTCGAAGCTAAACGATCAACCAAATTGGCGTTGTTACTTCAGCACAAGCAACAAGCACTTGGAGATGCGGAGAAAACTGCCTCACTGCCTCGTCTAATAGGTGGCAGGAAGAGTGGCTCGAGTCATGTCAAGTGTATCGATTGTGGAGCTCGTGTACTAGTTGGAGGACGGTCGAAGACAGCAACATCACAAGATATTGATAGTTGCCCGTGTAACGGAGCGAATTGCGTCAACGTATTCTGCTCTCCATGCTACTCGCTGCTGCCTACTAAAAGCAAGCTGTGCGAAGAATGCTACCAACACGAAATATCTCCTGAAGAAAGGTTCGGTGAACAACTTCGAGGTGTATTAATCGAGAAAATCGGCGCTTCGGACCAACAACGTTCTCATCTTGAAGAGGTTTTCCGCTCTTTTGATGTTGACGGATCGGGTTCATTGAGTCCTCAAGAATTCGAGAAAATGCTCCAGTTGTTGAATATCCAACCTACTCTTACTCAGAGACAAAAAGCGTTCCTTGTTGGCCAGTTTGACGCAAATGGAGACGGTGAAATTAGTCTGATTGAGTTTAAACACTGGATTTTAAGAGACCACGTTTGGGTGGAATCTGTAGCGCCGACAAGCCACAAAACTATCCCTCATACTGCGGAGGTTATGAGTACTGTTATTGCTCCTTTGTGCGAAGAGATTATAGATTTAGCCTACAACGCCTATGCGTTCAGCTCAACGATTGGATCGTGGTCCCGTTCGAGTAGTAGCACAACGGAATGCCAAAAGAAGACCCTACAAAGTGGAGAAACGGGTGTTATTATCTTTCAGCGAGTTATCAAGCTCAGTGTGACGTCTGGTGGGGAAGCGAATGTAGCAGAAAAAGTGTTTGAACAAGTGGATGACGACGGGAGTGGAAGTATTGATCAGTTCGAGTTCGTTGCGTTGCTGTCAGCGTTGGGTATTCATTTGAATTCTGAAGATGCGGTCTTACTCATGAACCGCTTCGGTGCCGCGTCCACAGGATCGGGAAGGATTACTATTGAAAAGGCCGCTTTTATAGAATATGTTGGGCAGATGAGTACCAAAACGTTTAGTCGAGTTGGAGATGGCAGTCTCGACAAGATTCTCGTTAAGTTAGCTGAATTTGCTGCTACGAACCCTGTCGCTCGTGAAAGTCTTCAAGATGAACTGCAACAACTTCACGAAAATATTACCCAGAAGGAGTTGCTAAGAATATGCAAAAATCTCGACGAGAAAGCATCTCTCATTGGCGGTGTTGATGAGTTAAGATCCCTCGCCATGAATCTTGCGTTTGACCATGAAATGAATGCGAGCAATACCGAAAGAGAAGGTGCTGACCAGCATGGTCCATTAAAATCAAGTGGAGATATCCTGGCTAGGATGTTGCTATCAGAATCGGGAGATTTGATGAAACTTGTGAGAACATTTGACGTAACATCAACCTGCCGCGAGCTTGCTTCTCACTTACAGATACGCAGTGGAACAAATAGTACTAGAACTATTTGGAAGAGTGTATTTGGTGCTGACACCACTGATGTCGTTCATTTACGTGATTTCATAAGCTGCGTACTGAAAACTGGATTCCTGATAGAGGTTCAAAATGAACCGGACAAGCTTGGTGTTGCGACACATGATCGTCTTATTACTCCACTCCTGCTCTCGCTCGCGGTTGATGCCGTGCGGACTGATTGCCACGTGCTATCAACATCTCCAGAAGCCAGTCCAGTGATTAGCTTCAACTTGTTCCGGTTGATCGTGCGTCTCCAAAAAATCAAGGAAATCGAGCTTAAGTTTGATCATGCACTGACAAACTTCATGCAATTATGTCAAGGAGAGCAACAGTATCTCGTGACGATTGCGCTTGATGCAAGCCGGAATCTCGTTGTCCGAGCAGGAGATCCAGTATTCAAGTTTTCTGCTGCCTTCGAGCTTCGTGAAGATGAATTTGACTACCAGAATCTAATTGCACAATTAGGATCCGCTAGCTTTGAGCGCCGACAACAAGAAACACACGAAGTTTCCCGAGAATTGGCATTCGCAAAGGCGCCATACGGTCTCATTACAAGCGAATTCCAGCCAGAACTTAATAACTCAATGCTTACAATCATTGAACGACTGCGTGCAGAACTTAGATGTCGGCATCACTCAACTACGTCACATACTTCCCGACTTCATATTCTCAGTCTGACAATGGTGGAGAGCGAAGCATTCGTATCGACTCTTCGGAATTTACTGTCGCTGGTCGAATTGCCGTTCTTCTGGTCTGTATCGCCTCGAAGTTTGGTGTTTTCCATCGACAGTGAATATCTAGATCAACAGAGCAAGCCCAGTTTCCAGCAGCTGGTCGCAGATACACTTTCACTGCACGGATCTCAATTACCTCCGCCGTTGCGAGCTCTAGCTACATTTGTAGCGCATACAGCATCGTCGCTACTAGTTCGCTATGAAGTTGTGGGTAAGTACACCAACGTTGAAACTAGTTGGCAAGAGTTTCAAGATTTCATCTCAGGACATCAAAATGCTTACGCGGTTATGGAGCTTCATCCGCAAGGGTCTGTGCTTACGACTCGTGTGGCTCGAGCGAGTGGATCAGGAGCTGTGCAATGGAATTTCAAGACACAGATAAAGATGGACGAACCCAAGCTATGTGACCATCGAATCGACCGACCAGTAGTTTTCACGGATACTGTCAAAGTCTCGTGTATCCCTGGAAGTACTGAGAACATTAATCTCATTAGGGGGGATAGTGAAGGCCCTGGTCATTTCGTGGTGATAAGTGTGCGAAGAGCACTCCCTAATGGCTCTGACTTTCCGAAACCAAGACTCTACTGCACAGCGTATGACCCGCTTACTTCATGCGATTACGCGGTTGAAGGTTATCCTTCCGATTGGTCTGTAGATTTCTTCGATGTTACCGTCAATCCGTCATTCGAATCTCAGTGGCAAACAATGCTCGATAGTATGCGTCTTGGAGTGACTATTACTCCAAAACTCGCTATTACGGTCTACAACAAGCAGCCTAAAACGGACAAATTGATTGGAGAATGTGAAGTATCGATCGGATCTGCAGTCGTTCAAGAGGGACATATTTTTGAAGAACGAGTCGCACTTCGTCCTCCAGTAATGAATCCAACATCAGCTTGTGCTGGTGTGACTTCTTTGACATTTCGATTTGACGTGGAGAAGACGTCGAGTATTAGAGAAGACGTGGTAGCGGAAAGGAGACAACAGGATACAGGTACTCGAGTGCCAATTAAGCTTGGAGCACAATATTTGGCTGGCGAAATTGTGACACCACGGACGGAATCAGTTCCGGACAATGGCAACGATAGAGTAAAAGAGCTACAAACCTCAATGACTGCGATGGAGATGTCAAAACTTGAAGCGCAAGAGCAGGTTAAACAACTAAAGGCACAGATTCAGCAACTGTCATACGCCTCGAACAAGACAACAGAAGACAATGCAGAAAGGTGGAAAAGGAGACTGGAACAGGCGAGACAGGAACAGTTTGCAGCTGAGGAACAACATGCAGCAAGGTGAGTTAACCGAATTTTTTACTATGACCCTATTTCTTTTTAGCTAATCGATATTTTATGGGGAAAAAATCAGATTGGCAGCTCTTCAAGAAGAAATTCGTCACTTGAGTGAAGAAACCCAAAAGCAGAAGAACGCACATCGCGAGGCATCAAACTTAAAAGACTGCAGACTGTCAGCTGATGCGTCAGCATACGATATCTTCTCATCGATAAGGGAGATCCTAACGAGAAGGTGCCCTGAGCGACCTTACAATGGATTGAAGAAAGCTCTGGCTGCTGAAGCGGAAGTGCCCGGGAAGGTATGAACCAACAACGCATTCCGTAGTATCTTTAACTCATTTTATGCGGTCTGGATACCAGGTAACGTTTGCTGTACTCAATGATGTCCTCGGCGACTTTGGACTCGCGCTTTCATCGGATCAACGATCAACTTTGGCAAATCTCTTCGACCCAGAAATGGTTGGTCGCGTGAACATTGAAGGTGAGTTTGTATGGTAATTGTTGGGCCATAGCATTGTCAGTACCTTAAGCTAGTATGCTTTTTGCGTAGATTTCTTTATCAACCTTTGTGGTGACGCCGAAGCGTACGAAAAGGTCCGAACATCTCGACTGCAGTTGTCGACAACACCGGAGTCGAGCAGCCCAGTTGCAGAAGACGTCGCTGTTGTAGAATACCCAGAACCTATAGTTTTCAGGGTAAGAATCTTATGCAGCACCCTATTAACTCGTGTGTTCTAACACTATCTGTTATCCTGTATAGCCGACGCCACCAGCTCAAAGACCAGTGTCTCCAACAGCCTCTCCAGCGCGAACTTCAAGTGTGCGATCTAAAATGAGCTGGCAGGATATGAAGAAGTTTCTTGTGCTTAACCTTCCAGAAGGTTGGGAGACTCGGTTCACCGAAAAAGGGAGACCATACTTTTGCAATCACGCTAATCGGTACGAATCTTTAGCTGTTTTTATCCTGTGTGCAAGCTAACACTGAATTCTATCGAAGATCTACACAATGGAAGCATCCACGACCAGAGATCGAGACGATCTTCAGTGAGTGGGTACAGGCAAATGGTGCTTTCTTCCACCGAAAGTCTGTATCAGCACGTCCGTGCAAGCAAAAGTAATGAAAAATAATTCAGACAATGCAATACGCGACGGATATATATTCGATTAGAAAAAAAAATACTTGGTACTGGTCTCACAAAATATGGCTTGTACATGCAGAACACGGGGCCGATGCCTTCTTACCACTCACCCCAGTCGTCGGTGGACTTGGGGGCTTCAGGAATGGAGAAATCGTTCTTGCCGTTGTCAGTAAATACCGAGACTGAAGACGTAGGTGAGCACAGCGGTTGTCCGTCAGCCAGCGAGACGTCGTCAAGCGAGTCGTCCAGCAGACCTCCAGTGTCTGCACCGACATGATCGGCGCAATGAGCTGCACTCTCGTGGAATGCACGGAACATCCCGAGTTCTGCTTTAAGCACACCCATCTCACTCTTCGCCTCAGCTTGAGCTTTCTTATAGCCCTCTTGGAATGCTTGGTCACGCTCTTGTTTCGATCGTTGTTCAGCATCGGCTTTGCCTGCTTCAATCCCCTTTTCGTACGCTCCACGAGCACGCGCTTCAGCACCGGCCAGAGCATTGGCTAGCTGAGTCTGCAGCTCGTTCATACGAGTCTGAAGCTTGCTGTGATCATCTGCACTTGCTTGAGCGCTCTCAGAATCAGCAGGATCCGACGCAGCAGCTGCATCAGCGTCACGCTGTTGCCGCAACGTCGTAAGCTCAGCTTGCACCAGGTCCTTGAGCTTCTTCATCTTAAGTGCTCGCATCCTCCACAAATCCTTCTCCTTGGTCAGCTCTGCAACAGCTGCACTTCCAGTGGGTACATTTCCTTTCTCCAACTCTGCAATCTTCTCACGAACAGCCTGCAGCATTTTCTGTAGCTCCTCCTTCTCCGTCATCAAGACCTTCACTCTCTCGTCCACTCCACCCTCACAAATCTCCATCCGAAGACGCGTCAAGTCTTCCTCCGCCTTCTGTTTCACACTCTCCACAATAGCCTGACTCTCACGAACTCCTTCATCGTACCCTTCAGCTCTGGCCTCGTCAATCTGCATCGTGACTGCAGCCATTTTGGTCTCGTAAGTATCACACAGATCCTGTAGCTGTTGTTCCCACTCTTTAAGAGCCTTCTGCTCCTTCTCATCATTAATCTGTTTGGTTTCCTGTAGCTGGTGGTGTAAATCTCTGGCTTTCTGTCTCCATTGCGTCGCTGCACGTCGCTCTGTGTCTCTGGCTGCTCTCAATAGCCACACTCCCTCTTGGTCCTCACTACCAGCCTTCTCTCTGTGTGGTTGCTTGTCTTCTGGGCTGTGCTCGTCCTCCCTCTTCTCTTCAGGTGGCGTCTCTTTATGCTGCTGCAGCTGCTCACTCTGCTGTTGACGGAAGAAAAAGCGGCACCAGAACTCGTCGTAACTCAATTCCAACGGCACTAACGCGTCGTGCAGCTCGCGTATCTCCGCGTCTTCGTCCAACGTGCGTGTGATCTCATGCGTATGTTCTTCGGCAGAGAAGAAGGTCGAAAACTCCTTGTAATCTGCGAGCTCTTCGTATAAAATCTCGTCCACGGGTCCAATGCGGGTTGAGCCGATGGCGCTGTGTAGTAACGTGGAAGCTTCGTCCTGCACCGCAGCTGCTAGACTGTGGGCTTTCTCCTGCACGCTATTCACGTAGCCTGAAGCGTTGGCTGACGCGTTCTTGGCTGCCTGCTCCAGTAGCTGCCACATACTCATGCTGTCACTGCACTTGTTGTCCTCCACGTCGGACCAGAATGGACAGCGCGAATGAAATGAAGGGTTAGAATTGCAATTTAACAATTTATAAAAGCATCGAAACTTATAAAAACATTTTAACACAATAATAATCTGTTTTTACCAAAATACTCCATAATCATAATTCTGATCAAGATAAAGGTTTACAATTATTGCTTATTATTTTCTGAAAGACAAACGATGGCGTTCCGCGCTCCGAAGTGGTGCGTATTGCTCGCTGTCCTCCTCTCCTTCTCATTGCTTGACACTTAAACTAATACTACATCTCTCCTCTTTGTCGTCAGGGCTTCGTCTCCAGTGTGTCGCAATCGCCAGGCCGCGCTACAAGTAGAGAAAGGGGGCGAAAGTATCGAGCAGATCTCTATCGGAACGCGCTCATGTTACGTATTAGGACGCAGCGAGGAGCTAAGCGACGTATGGCTGCAACATCCGTCCATCTCCCGACGACACGCGGTCATCGCACACGACAGCATGGAGCGCGTATGCCTCATGGACTTGGGATCGGCACAAGGAACGTTCGTCAATGGCCAGGAGATTGAACCAAACGAGCCACAAACGCTCAAGAGCGGAGACCGTATTAAGTTCGGGGCCAGTACAAGAACCTATGTGTTTCAGAACCCGGAAACCAAAGGCTCAGGAGCAGCAAGCCAAGACCCCGAGCTGCAGCGGATGATGCGCGAGATGCAGAGCTTTGGAGACAAACAAAAGAGCGAGAAGCCGTCGACAGGTGATGAAGAAAGGAAGAAGGTGCGTCTTATATGATCTGTAGTGCTAAATATCTTGTTCTAACTGCTACTGGTTGTTAGAGACAAGCTGAGATCGCAGCGATGACCGCACAGATGATGCAGACGGCCCCTGAAGTCTCTGATAATACCGTCGACAAGGAGGACGAGAGCCACGACAGTGACGACAACGCTCCTGAATCGGATTCTGAGAGCGAAGAAGAAGACAACGACAATGTCGCTCTACGCTATGGCTTGCCCAAGTCTCACGAAGTAGGTCTCGAGAGCCACACTAAGGGACTGGCGTGTATTGCAGTAGACACGCCTGGTGCTCGCGTGGCCACTGGATCGATGGACTACCACGTCAAGTTGTGGGATTTCGCTGGTATGGCGCGTCACGTCCGTCCGTTCCGGGACATCGAGGTGGAAGACGGCCACCCGCTTGTGGCCGTGAGCTACAGTCCTTCAGGCGACCGACTGCTTACAGTAACAGGATCGTCTCAGCCCAAGATACTCACACGTGAAGGTGTGGAGGAGCTTCAGTTCGCCAAGGGTGACATGTACGTCGTGGACATGGCGAACACCAACGGCCATACACACTCAACTACTGGCGGTCAATGGCATCCGAAGCTGCGTGATCAAATGATTACGAGCTCATTGGACGGCACCGTGCGTCTCTGGAGTCTTGGAGGCAAACAGACATTCAACAAGCTCATCAACACCTCCGTGTTCAAGTTCAAGGACCGTCGTGGTCGACGTTGTGGAGTGACAGCTTGTAGATTCAACCCTGATGGTTCGCTGATTGCCGGAGCCACTATGGACGGCCAAGTGCAGTGTATCGACCCACGTAAGGCTTATGCTGGAGCTGCAATTACTATCAAGGATGCACATGCGGACGGTGGAGGCGACGTGGGTGTTTCTTCACTTCGGTTTTCACCCGATGGGAAGTACTTGGCGTCACGATCCTGCGCTGATGACACGATCAAGATCTGGGACGTACGGAAGCCTAAGCAGAGCGTAAAAGAGTTCCGTGGGATCGAAGGCGTCTTCGGAACGTGTAACTTGGCCTTCAACCACAACGGCACTGCGATCGCTACCGGTACGTGTGTTCGGAAGGGCAAAGGACTTCGTGGGCAGGTTCTGTTCCTGGATGTCCATACTCCTGGTCTGGTGGAGCCTATCGCTAGTATTGACATGAAGGAAGACGAGAGTGCAGTGTGTGTGGAATGGCACCATGGCATTAACCAGATTTTCGTTGGAAGCTCGACAGGAACGTGCCGTGTCTTCTACGACCCGAGACAGAGCACTAAGGGCGTTCTGTTGAGTGCCACCAAGAAGCTGAAGGTACAGAGTAATGACTCCGGTGTGCGTATTGATGGCGAAGGGAAAGTGTACAACCCTCACGCGTTGCCCATGTACCGTGACGAGACGTCTGGATCTCGTAAGCGCAAGTACGAGAAGGTGCGTGCTGATCCGAAGAAGTCTCGTGCGCCTGAGAAGCCTATTACAGGTCCAGGAATGGGCGGCAAGATCAGTGGCAGCACGACGTTCACGCAGTACTTCATGAGCAACCATATCAAGTCTTCATTCCGAGAAGAAGACCCACGCGAGGCTATTCTCAAGTACGCCAAGAAGGCGGAGTCGGACCCGCAGTTCTTGGGAGCTGCATACAAGAAAGAGAAGCTGGACCCGCGCTACCAGTTGGCCAAGCAAACACTAGAGGAAGAAAAGCTTGCAAAAGAGGAAGAAGACCGTCGACTATTGCAGCCGTAGACAGGTCTGAGGACGGAAACTGTTGCCTGAAAGCTGGATGGGACTCGTAAGTTCACAAGAAATGGCAAATATGACGATGTATTTTCCAGAATATGAATGAATTAACGCTATTGTTTCAATGCTATTGCTAGTGCAGGGATGTCTACTATATGTACGAGAGTGTCGCTGGAGTAGCTACACAACAACGTCGAGTTGGTTGGCTCGCTCCGTTGCCATGTCGTGGTGCTCAGCAGCTTCTGCCTGGTGCTTGTGACGTCTGCAAACGCCTTTACAACGGGCGATGCTGGAGCACTCGAGCACTTTACACTTCCGCGAGGCATGCGTGGCACATTTTCCTTGACGCTGGGCGCCTTTCTTGCAGCCAGGGGCCGTGCACAGCTTGCCACCACCATGTACACGACACAAGCCTCCACCTTGGCTACTGGAAGCGCAGCCCTGAAACGTGCAGCGTGCACCTCCGCCGTGGCGTTTGCACCGACCCATTGTCTGCGCTCCACGAGTGCAGCCCTCAACCAAGCAGCGTCTACCGCCTCCGTGTCGAATGCACCTTCCGTTGCTCTGCTTCTTCGTGTTGCATCCTGCAACTTCACACTTCTTGAATCGCTTCTTATTCTCGCCCGACAGTGGAAGCACGCACACGCCCACAAGAAGCTCAAGCGGGATCACTGGTTCTCCAGAATGGTTCTGAGGCATGAAGGGTAGCGGTTCGATCTGGCTTGATTTTGACTCCAAATCGGGAGCTGATACTTGCAGGTTGTGCGCGATGACGAGTTCATTCGGCGATGGTGAATTGGTACAACACTTGGATTCGGTGGGTTCGAATAAGGGAAGCAAAAGAGCTGATGACTGGGGCATGACGCCGGATGATGGATATTCGATGGGGTTGCAACTATTGTTGAGCAAGGGTATCTCAATCGGAGGCAACACCTCTTCGCTGTTGGGTATCACCAACTTCAGCAAGGCTGCAAGCTCACTGTTTGGGATCATATTACAACTGACTTCGGATGGCTGAAAAGAGACATCATGGAGGTGAGAGATGTTCATCTGGAAGAGGGTTTGCGCTCGAGAAGAGAAATTGCAAAGTGAGCCGAAGAGTGTGCAACACTGGTTGAGACTTAGTGCCGCTAGTGGACAGCGATCCTGGACTGAAATGTTTATAGCTGGTCCGCTAACCAAGAGAGGTCTCGTCAATATGCGAAGTGATGGACGCATAAAAGGTGATCGAGTCCATGAATCTAGCAACCCAAGTCTCTTCCTGTCAACTGCACCATTGTTGTACATGTTACCAATGTACAACGCTAGAAACTTTGGTCTGGTCGATAACTCGAAGATATCAATTTATCGATGGTTTATTGTTCCCAGTCCATGACCTTTGTCAAGTTTCTCGATAGAGCGCAACACAAATGTCAGTCCACCGAGCAATTCCATTCAACACTTCAATTTCATGAGGAACGCAAGGGAAAATTTCAAGCTATCGGTAGAATAAAAAAAAAAAACTAGAAAAGAGCACCTATTAGCGCCGAACACTCACTACCTCCTTTCTTGTTTTCTTTCCCACATTCGGACGACAACAAACATCACTTAGCCCACGCCACTGCAGCTTCCGCTGCTGCTTACGGTGTGCGGTGGTCCACGGTCGGCCAGTGTGCCGCACACTGGAAAGGGTCCGTCTGGTACAAATTAATGCCTGCGCGACCTGCCATGGGCTCCCACGTCTCGAGCGCATATCTGCGGCTCCATTTGTGGAACTTCTGCTCGCGTTGTTCCTTCGGGCAATTGACATCGGGGTAATAATCCATGGCCTCGTACAACAAAGTTTGCAGCACCCCAGAGCACGTTGCTGGTAACCGGCTCACCCCTCGCCGTCGTGCCAATGAAAAACGCGTCTCCACTCGCGTTCACCGACGTTGAAATCCCGTCATCCAGCTTACTACAAATATAAATGGCCATAGCATTCAGCTCGCCACTGACGCCTCTGCAGTTCAACATATCGTTCAACTTGTCGATTCCAAAGCCAAAACCAAACTGGCGATTGAATTCCTCAGTAAATGGTGGGAACACGTTCTGGCGAGGATCCACATAGAGCACGCCACTGGAAAAATGCATGAGTTCTCGCAGGAACGGCATCTCCGTTAGCTCTTTCATCTCCTCCGTCCGGGTGTAACCCAGACGTTGTCGAATGTATCTCACACCTTGGACTTTTGAATTGAAAACGTGATTGATCATCATGTTGGTGAGACCACTGCCTTCTCCACTCTTGATCTCCACTACAACCACCATGTCACTGGAGCTGGGAGAATCCTTTTCTGGTTGCAATTGCTTGGACTGGTACGTGCAGTCGGCACGATGCGCTTTCCAGTGCTGACGTTGATGCTCACGAGAGCAATAACCAACGCGCTTGCACGAGCCGCAACGTCGTAATGATTCAGACTTGCCGCAGATTGGGCATGCGATTGGAGCTGTAGATTCTGGCGACGTAGTTGGTTGCTCCATTCCCACAATATCTCCACGTTTTCAGAAATGAGAACGATAAATTTCTGAAGATTCGTGGTACGGTATTGCGTAGTACTACTCCGTCTCAAAATTGATGTCCCATACCCAGATATTGATAGTAGAACGATTTTTTTTACCAAAAGTAATACAGTAAAACCCACCACATAATTAGCTCCTAATAACATGATAGTATTACCGACTTGACTGACTGGTCTAAGTGATATTACTGCTATATTAGTAGAGTATTACTACTGTTGATCTTGGTGGTCGACGGCCGTCGACCACAATATGTTCACCAGCTACAGATCGAGGCAGATTTCATGAGCCTCGATCTGTGAACCGCAGGGCTCTCGTGGGACGAACCGCTCACTCGTTTGACGGTGTACAGCGAGCTTCGCCCCCGTGTGCCAATTTGGCACTGCCAAAGCTTCTCGTGCCATGATTTTGCTACGAATCAGTCCTGCATTGCTCATTAACCGTTGTTCTAAGTGGGAATTGCCAGTGTAATCAGATAGTACTCCACTATTACAATCTGACCCCAATTGTAGATAATACTTATCTATTATTACTAAAACGAGCTTAAAATATTCCTAATAGTCGAACTATTAGCTACCTATTACTTGGCTATTACATATTACCGGACTATTACCGCTACTACCAATCTCTGCCCATACCACTCTTATTTTAGTCTTAAAAATGATGTCAATTTACTCTATTTGACTTTACTATGAAGGGATGTCTGCTCTATGAAATGGTGCGACACAATTTCGGCTGTTTTGGGTGAGCATTGAAGGTTCACAGACAGTCTTCCCTCCCGTTGAAGTTTAGCTTTGGCGATGTGAGGAGGGCTGAACGCGTTGCCTCCTGCGTTTTGAATGCACAAGTTCATTGATCCCTGTAGGCTAAGGAACGTGGCGTTAATTGTCGAAGGCGGCAGCTCCCAGTACGCTGCGGAAACCGCATCAACAAGCTCGTCAATACTACGGGGTGTCCGCTGACGTTGGCGGGCCTGTATGGCTGTAAAGACACCTAAAACCAAGCAATTGAGGTCAGGAGAATTCGGCGGCTGGCAACACAGCTCGACATCCAATCCGAGCCGCGACGCAACTTCAGAAAACAGAAAATCGATGACGCTAACATGCGCAGGGGCGTTATCTTGATGCACTCCTATGTGCACTCCATCGTTTGCTGAAGGCCAGCGCTCACGAACTGCAGGAAGAAGATGCTCAATCAGCATCGAACGATAGGTATCTTTGCTTACACGACCTTCTTTGGTCACGATTGTCCCTGCCGAACGCCTGGCACTACTGCGGACAGCAGCTTCTCGCACGATAAATGGCCAGACGCCCAGCTTTCCGTCGAAAAACGATCCCGAAGACTCGTCCCACCTTGGTCTTCCTACCGCAGCGAGCATCATAACCTTTGTAATGTAGCGCTTGGACCGAACTTGGCGATGAGGCGCTTCTTCACCAGGGAGGAGGTAGTATCGCCGCCGGACTGATGTCATGTAGATTAGCTTTTCGTCCACGTGAATGGTATCATTCATATCCTTAAACAGCAAAGACAGTGGTTGAACATGCAATATGCACCAGGCTAGTCTAGCCGCCTTGTTCTCTTCAGTGAGCAAGGGTTTAACATTGCTAGTGTGTGCCATGAGCTCCCCATCCTTGACACGACGCTGCAAAGTTGCCCTTGGCACACCGCACGACAAAGCAGCAGAGCGCAATGTGCTGCGCTGTTCGAGCGGGGTGTTGCGCAACAGCTCCAGATTGGCCGACAAGTCAGCCTTCGATCGGCCACGATCGTGGCGGCGCGACTCAGCATGCAGCCGACCCGAATTCGCCTCCTCCTCCTTCGCGCGTTGCCACAGCCTTGTAATTGTACGAGGACAGACTTTGAACTTGGCCGCCTCCTTCATCGCCCCTCGGCGAGGGACACCGTTCACAGATCGCTGCAGTAGGGACACAATAGCCTGGTCACGCTCAATGTCAGTGAGTTCCCGCCTTTGCGGCGGACTTGGCAACTCCATCTGTCGCAACGTAAAAGAATGAGAGAAGTATGGATGTTTGTTTTGAGGAGGAAGGGTGACATCTGCGATTTTTCGCTCCGTCCCAGTTTTCAAGCAGCCTCCATCAAAACCAACCATGCAGAGCAAATAAGCACATGGATTAAATTGTGAGATAGCGCCACATCGCTTATGTCAAATAGCGCAACTAAAAACGATTATTTGACAAAACGCGCATGCGCTCTACTACAATGGGATATCAATTTTGAGACGGAGTAGTAGTTATAACAACCAATCAGAACAGGAGTGTAACTGGTTACGTACCCCCAATGTACCCAAGTTACAGTGCCCGCCAAATCATTAAGACCCCCGATTTGGCGGGACACTTCTGGCAATATCTCGGCTTCTAGCCTGAGTTGGGAACTGCTAGTTTGATATGTTTTCTCTATTAGGCTTACAGAGGTGCCACTTGTGTTAACAACTTAGATTTCAAAGTATCTGACAGGGCTGGTTTACAAATGCAATGTTTGGGCACCAGTGTCAAATTATTAAGACCACATCCTTTTTATGACGAAAATAACACTTTTATGAACAGACCATACAAACTTCTATATTAAAAGTTAGTACTTAGTCAGTCCACCTTTCTTCTTGATCACCGCTAGACAGCGGCGAGGCATTGTACAGTAGCTATAACAACCAATCAGATCAGGAGTACAGATCAGGAGTATATATATAGTACTTATTAATCATGTAGCCTACCCCTACCTTCTAGAATGCTCTCAGAAATACATAAATTGCAAATATAGCCCACTAACGGTCACGCTTTTCTGTGACATCCCTATTGGTCAATTTAAATTGTAGTAGTGGGGCGAGCTGGAACAGCGAGCTCCACGGGTTGGGACCAACCATGCCCATCCGCCCGCAAAGCGGGCGGCACTCGGCTAGTCTACACACAGTAGGCCAGCGCGGTGTCTGTCTGTGTGTCTGAACGTCCGTGTGCTCAGCGTCTTAGCGCATAAACCTATGGAGTTGCCTTGGCTTTATAACTCCTTTACATGCAATACCGCTTATCGTTTAGGCTACCCCTACCTTCTAGAATTCTCTTAGGAATGCGTAAACTACAAATATAGCATCTTTACTAATGCGATGCGACATCCCTATTGGTCAATTTAAATTTTAGAATTCTTTCATTTACAAAACCAAACGACGTCAGCAGCGACAGAGCTCATAACGCGAAGAGCGCGGCAGCTAGCAAGGACAGGAGTGATCGAGCGGCGCAACCAGCGCGGGAATACATTGTAAGTATACATATAAATATAATACATACGTATATTTTAAATATATTAGTACGGTTTCGG